GATGTTATATTAATAGAAATGTGTTTGGTTGGTTTGAATAATTTGGTGAGTATGTTATATTTATATGTTTGACTGAGAGAATAAAGGGGTAGGTTTGTTATATGGAAAATGATACAGTCACCGAAAAAGGGATACCAAATTCATGCATCAATAGATGTGGCAACATCATGACCGTTTATTAATTATGAATTTTGTTTTGAAAAAAAAGCGGATGGTGCCATGTTTGTTTGGTGCATGAATTCCATATACTTTTTCGGTAACTGTAACATTGCTTTTGTTATATAGATTACTAAATTGCCCTCCTTTTTAAATATCAATAAAATATTATTTTTATTATTATTTTTTGACTCTTTCAACCCCTTACATTTGAAATTTTGCTAAAACACCCCAACCATATAAAAGTTTAATTTATAGTAAAATCACCCCCACCCACCCCAAGCCACTACCGGTAGCTAGCCACGACCGTTGGCTACCGTCGACAATCGACGGAATGGCTCACAACCAACTGTATATGGTTGGTCGTGCATCAGAAAAGCCATTTCAGGCCATGGATCAAAAATCCATGGTTGTTTCACATCCACATCTTTGGCTGTGAAATAGCCCTCTTTGGCTATGGATCTATGCCTTATCGGTGTACGACCAGCCAAATCATACCGATCGTGCACAATTACGACGATTACCGCCGACGATCAACAGTGGTCTTGGGGAGGTTGGGGGTATTTTGTTAACTTTTAAACTTTTTGTGGCTGGGGTGTGTTAGCTAATTTCTCAAATGTAAGGGGTTGGGTAATTGTTATATGGTAGACATTTGAGGGTAATTGTGTCTGAAATGGTATTTAATTAAGGGAAAAATAGATATAAAAATCATATTACCTCAATAATCTTTTAATAACAGCCCGTGGGGAGGGTATCTACTATCTAATTACCACCTACATTACCAACAGTAAACACCATTTGCAATAAAAGATGCCCGTGATATTTTATTACTTGCAAGCCTAACAACGAAATCTTGCGAAATAAACGAAGATTACCTTCATTATCTTATATGACCCGGATTCAAACTCACCCTTTCTAGGACAACATGTACTAGGAGTAGGGCTACAAACGAACCGATTTGTTCATGAACAGTTCGATGTTCATTCGATAACAACTCGATTTGACTCAATAACAAACAGTTTGAGTTCGAGTTCGAGTTCGTTCGATAAGGTGTTCGATTCGAGTTCGAACAAGGGGCGTTCATTCGATTATGTTCACAAACATAATTCCATTTGAATGATTCGTCCATTCGGGAACACTCCTCCGTTTGATTGTTCGTTCATTTATGTTCGAAAACATAGTATATATTATTATATATATTCATATGGTGCTGAGTACCAATGATTTTCTATGGCTTAGTATCAAAAATGCAATTCTTTTGATTCCTTAGTTCGAGTTGCTTTAATATCATATTTATATTTTTCATTTTTTTTTCTTTCTTATACTATGTTTGGTCCAGTTTGGATGAATTGTTTTTTTAAGTTAATCATTAGTAAAACATTGTGATGCTTTATATATACAAAAATGTGGGCTAACCAACTAACCTAGCCAGCCCACATCTTTAAACAAAAATCCAAAACCCTATTCTAATTTCTCTTTTGCGACAAACTCTAGAGGCGCAATTTTGCTCAGCCCTAATTTACCCTTTTGCACCAGACTCCAAAGGCCAAGAGAGTCAGAGACTCGTTGCGTTACTGTGACTTCGAGATCGAATTGAGAAGTGTGACTTCTTCTGCCAACTAAGGTGCTTCGCTTGTGCGTTTTCAACATCCATTGCTTTTGAAAGCTATTAAATGTTATTTCGAAATCATATTGTAATAGTTTTCCAATTCTTGCATTATCATCAGCTTTAAGTGTTAAAAATGAAATCATATTATAGTGGTTTTCCAATTCTTGCATTATCATCATTAAAATAGGGCATTAGAAATTGTTGTATATTTGTTTCTTAGAGCAAGAATTAGAAAGTTGATATATATTTTTTATTCATCAAGTTATTCGAACAAGTATTTAAAAATTATTCGAACGATTTCGAACAGTTCGTTTTGTTATTCGAACGATTTCAAACAGTTCATTTTGTTAATCGAACAATTTTAAACAGTAATTTTGCATCTCTACCAGGGAGACATGAAATTTGGAACCTTAGCAGATTCCCACCCTGCCATTGTTTCTATACCTTACTCAAATCAAATCTCAAAAATGAAATATAATACAGTGAAAATAAACGGTTTTTCTTTGCATTTTACCTCAATTTTTGTATCAGGAAATAAAAACACCTCTGAGAGAGAGTAAATATAACCCAACATCTGATAAATGACGTTGAAAGCAACGATGTCTTGCTAACAATAAGAATACATTCCCAAAGATCAAGAGATGGGTCTTACCCTTCATTTGTTAAGGCGTGATTATAATCACCGTACAAAACTTGACTTACCCTCGTATCAGCCACTGTCTTGTTTCCAAGAAAAATATGAATAGCAGCAGCATGTTCCAACTTCCAGATTGTAAAACACGATGTCTCCAGTTTATAGGATGTGATGCAAGTTGTTTAGACCTAAGCTTCTAACTTATTATGAAAACATGAACTGAATATAACCCTGAGCTGCAGAAGCCACTCTAAGTCTCAGTATCGAAAAGAATGTTGAATGATGCAACAAAACCATTTGCAAAATAATAATAATAGATTTCAAGGAAACATAAGAGTAGCATTCAAATTGACAGCTTTTGCCTAAATCTTGAAATTGACCATGAGAGATTGAATCCATTAAATTCAATGCAAGAAGCCACTCTCTGAGTCTTTGCCTAAATCAGCCCAAGCCTACCACATCTGCCAATAGTTCAAGACTAAGAACCGAAAACATGTGCAACTGAAAAACTCTACTATTTTCAAGTATACTGCAGGGTGCTAAAACATAAATCTGAATCCATGATTATCAACAAACAATGGCATTGTCAGAAACATTTTGAAATTAGAACCAAAAATTTAAAACAGTGCTAATGAAGATACACCATCATAACTCCTCTTGAACTGAATTTATATTTTGAGGAACCCTCATAATTCAAACATGAAAAATTATTACTATTTTACAAGCATTTCATTACCAAAAATACAAAAATTGAAGTTAAAATTATTTCACAGCAAAAATTACCTGGTATGAAAAATTATTTCAATCTATGCCAACAAGCTCCCAATTAAACCCAAAGGTGACTCATGAAAACAACTATCCCAAACAAATGAACAATCAATGCTGAAACTTGCCCCAGGCAGTTAAAATAAAAACTACACTCTTTGTAATAAACACCATTTTCTTTTCCACACAGCTGAATCAATTAAAATTTTGCCATATGAAGTTGAACCATTCACTCAAATAGTCCACTTTTCTGAACTCTCACAGTAGATTACCACTGTTGTCAAAATGGCATAGCTTCAGAATTGAGATAACAAAACTCACTAAAAAGTATTCAGCAACTAAAAGAAATTGTTGATATTAGCTCGATACCAGCCTCTGGACAATTCTTGCTCACCTAATAATGCTACAATTCATCACTACAAATCTACACTCTGGCTACACAGAGAATCTACTCCCAAGGGTCACCAGTCCTACATTGAAAACTTAATCCAATTAACAGATAACATTCTACTGATTCTTTCCTTCAATCTTTCAAGGAATAAAATCTCCTATAAAGTACTTCTCAAAACCTCAAACTCTTTAACCCCCAAATGTAGTTGAGCTTCTCAACTAGCATTACACCTTCAGCAGACTTAACAATCTTAAGCTCTAAACTTCATTGGTTTGAAGCCTAACAAGTTCCAATCACAAACGAAGACAGTGATAGTAAGCATGTACCAAATCAAGATTCACTGCATCTTCCACTGCATACAAGCATGCCAACCAGAGAGAGTACAAACATCCAAAATTAAAAATATCAATTAAGGCCTAAATATAAACAGAAATCCAAATATGCTTATTCTTACTAGAACCAGAAACTAAACAAGTGGTTAGAAATTTTGTGTGGCTAGAACTTTCAAAACAGGGAAATTCCAAAGGCATAAGCATCTGAGTAAGGAATCATTATTTCAGAGAAAAGTCCTCAGCTAGAAATGGAAAATTCTTACAACTATGATAGACTGGCTAACTTATAAACTCAATATTCTCCTGTCAATCAGAATATGCTTCAAAGTTGAAACAATCTTTTCAAACCCTGTCAACCACGAAAAGACAATGTTTCACTGAACCAACGCCAAAGTTTAGTAAAACTTTCCCTGGGAATCAACATTCCCTAGCATATTTATAAAAGTTCACCAGTGAGACCAATAGTCCACTGCACCAACCAAAATCAGGTAAAACCACACGGTAGCCAACTAAGTTGACAACTTGACATGTCACCTGCTCTAGAAAACAGTTTGATCGTGCTAAGTAGATAATTTGCAGCTTCGGAAATAAAAACAATTGCTAGTATTGGCCAGATATCCAATCATTTCAGGGTTGTTTGCCTGTCATACTAAAATTACTCAAACTATAAATAGGGTAATTTTCCACATTACTAAAATTATATTTTGGCAAATTCAAAGTAGAAGTTACCCAAGAATTCCTGGTCCTTAAAAGTAGTTACTAAATAAACAACTGCCTAGTACAAAATTTATCGACAATAATAATAAGAAGAAGAAATATACAGACATTTGAGTACAAAACAACAAGAGCATCCCGCCATAGTTTATAATAAATATCCAACAAAAGCAAAGAAAAATTAAGTCTTTCTTCTTTTCACATGTCTTTAATTTGACAACATTTACAAAGCAAGCCCTACCTAAATAACCAGTGAAAGACCATCAGTTCCTAATCCAACGACTGGTAATTAAATATTTAAATAACTTCTTGGCAAAGATAAATTTACAGAAATGAACAAAAAAAAAATTGTAACGAATAGAACCCTAAACTCCTAAGAACAATACGGATACTATTTGATTTTTTTTTTTTTTTCCTTAAAGGCCTCTCCCTGTAGGACTAGGAACCGGCACCGTCGGTGAAAGCGGAAAATTTAACTGACCAGACGTGGGTGAAAGCAACAGGCTAGGAGAAAAAGGGTAAGGTGACCGCGGTGAATTCAAGCAACCGAATGCCAACGGTGAAGTTGGCAGTTGAAACTGTGGCTGTGCTTGCGCTGTCGGCGGGGGAATGATCCCCTGCTGCTGAGACGTATCAGTTAAGTTGTTCCATCGGGGCGAAACTAACGGAGCCAGAGGAGAGAATCCCGAGAATTGCGGCTTGGAGTTCGGATCGGCTGTCGAGATCGAGTTCTTTAGGTACCGCATGTAGGCCGTAACGGGAGATTCAGCCGCTGCGTGCACCGCCGGAAAAGGCGGGAGAGGCGATAAAGGAGCCGTTGACCGTGGGATGAAGTTGTTATTGCTGGTGTTGTTGGTGGTTGCAGTGGGGTTGGGTGGTGGAATTGGAGGGGGGGCGCATGGTAGCATAGGAGGGGGTCGGTTGCTAACGTGCACAAGGGGTGGGGGACGGATGCGCTGGAGACGAGAACTGGGAGGCTTAGGTTGGTGTATAGGCGGAGGAGTTGAAAAGCGCTCGTGAGCTGGAGAGCCGGTGAGTTTCTGGACCACATCTCTGAAATCGTTCTTGTTGATATTGTAGACCGGTGGTTGATGCTGATGTTGATGCTGAAGATTCTGCTGATGCTGGGGTTGAGGAGGTTGATTTTGATTCTGGTCAAAAGTGGGAGTCGGTTTCTTGACGATGGGATTGTTAGTAGTAATAGCGGCGTTGGTGGTGGTGTTTGTGTTGGGTTTAGAGATCTTGTGAGAAAGCTTATTAAGTTGCTTGAGATAAAGATCTCTGTTGTTGGTAATGGAGCTGCTAAAGTTACTAGTGGTGGTGGTAGAGTCACCTGAAGAATGACAGATTTTATCCATTACAAAACAGAAAAAACTCTTCTAACTTTATCTCTAAAACGTAATGATCTAAATATCTGATATAACTGTGTACAGCAGCAGCTATGTTAATGGCGGACTGGACTAAAGGGGTCGGCTAGTAGGGACAGTATGAAAGGGAGAGGGAGAGGGAGAGGGAGAGGGAGTAAATAAATAAATAGATATAGAAATGTGTTAATTGATAAATTAATTAATTTGAGATTAATAGTACAATAGTATCTGGAGAGAGCAGGAGAAAAAGGTGGAAAAGAAGGAATATGTCTGTGTTTTATTTTGTTTTGATTTACGAGGGTAAAAAAGAAGAGACATGACCCGTAGAAGAAGGCACACACCTCGCTATCTCAACTCCTCAAGCTTTTGTGCTTATCTACCAAAGTGGGGCTGCTGCGTTACTCAGTGAGTAACGTGTGTTTACGTCAACATTGCTTTGTCCGTTTCGTGACTGCCGGGTCACGGGCCAACTTCTCTTTCTGTTTTTTATTATTTTATAATTTAAAAATATGGCATTTTTCTTTTTGATATTTGACAATTACAAGGTGAGTAATTACGGATGGGTGGTTTGTGGTCTCTTTAATGGTGATGTGTATTTCCCAACCCATGTAATAATTATTGTGTGTTGGAGTATTATATTGGCCGTCAAATTGCCGTTACTTCATAATAATGTGAATGAAGTTGGGGGCTCTTTAGACAGTAGACAAGGCTGCAAAAATGCTTTTTCTTTTTTCCAAATTAACCACAATATCCATGCTAAATAATCTCAAATAAAGTAACTATTTCAGTCAAAAATTTTGAAAAAAAAAAAAAAAAAAAGGGGGCTCTTTAGACAGTAGACAAGAATTATGTAGCAATTATCACACCACCACTTTTCCATCCCAAATTGTTTTTGTTGATTAAGGAAGCAAGATTGCAAGTCCCGGTGTTCTTTTAGTGCGCATGTATTGTCATTACCTCCTTGATTTTCACAAGCTTGCTACTTGTATTATCTTTACATTAATCAATTAAATTCAATAAGTTTTTAGTTTTTTGTTGGTTAATTTCTGGGATCAAACATTTTTTGTTTTTTTTTTTTGGGTAGGGCTTGGGATGATAAGGCAAGAAGATTAAGTAAAAATTTGAATTGAAAAAGTCATATACATAAAAATAATTTGTATGTTCTTTAAGTCTTTAACTAACTTATTAAAAGGGTTTGCATGGAATGAAAGTAAGCTTAGAACATCGTTTTCCAAAATAGGTTGACTAATTCTAATTCTCTTCACGGGTCATTCTTTTACCAAAACGGCTCTTTCACTAGGCCCCATCAACAAGCACCAACCATTTTAAGATTCTCTATTATTATTGCTTGTAATTTACTTTGAGATTGAAAAATGTTGAGAGAAATTTCAGATGGACTTCTTATGGCAAAACTAAAACTATCGGGTTCAAACTTGCAGTTTAATTGGCTGTTGCTTTCTGGTAGGTGACAAATATAACATGTTTTTTTTTTTTCTAATTATCATTGTTTACTCCCTTCAATATTAATATACAGTCAAACATTAATTTTTAACCTAAACAAATTAAATTCGCTCATACAAAAAAAAAATTAATGAATTTACATCTGACAATAATCAGCATGAAATTTACTGCGCCTGATTTGGTATATAACTAATATTCTCACCAGTTTGAGTTAATCAAGTCAATCAAATTAAGTTTATATATATTAAATATATAGAAAAAAATTGGTAAATATTGAATGTTAATATCTGGCTTAACTTCTAGGTTAGAGCAACAAAAGATAATGTTATAAAGACTATTTTTGCAAGAATGATATGAGCAAGTATGGGGCTTCTATTTCTACATGGATATGGAGTCTAAGAGAAGCTAGTGAGCCCAAAAGGCTTGGCATCTAGCTAAGCCCAGGAAGGTAGCTCAAAATCCAATTATGCATGTTTTCAAGTCGGATTTAAGGTTGGTTTTAGAGGTGGGCAAGGACCGGGCTCAATCGGTCTCAGGTTTGGGCCCAGTCGGTCCCGGGACCATCCTAGGCCCATAAATTTTTTCAGGTTTCAGACGGGTCCCTAGGACCGGTCATGGGCCCATAGGACCGGTCCCAAGAGCCTAGAAAATTGCAATATGCCCCATTAATACGTAAAATTTTAATTTAGCCCTTATATTCATTATTTATTTTATAAAATAGGGGGTTTTAGATATTCACCAGGGGCTTAAACGAAATTGGGCGGAAGGGTTTGGGACTGGGCCGGGACTAGTCCCAGGCCCAGGCCTTGGAGGAGAGACCGAACCTGGGCGGGGCCCTCCTCTATGTGCCTAGTCCGGTTTTGGGACCCATCCTAGGCCCAGTTTTTTGGATGGGTTTTTTTGGTCTGGGCCCAAATTCCCACCTGGTTTGTTGGATTTCATAATCCGTTTCAATAACATTCTTCATATTAAGTGCTAGAATTCATGGTGTAATCCGATTTCTATAGTATCAGGTTTGTTATTTCATATAACTACTCCTTATCTAAATATCAAACGAGATTTCATATTATTATTATTAATGTAAACAACCCAAATGTAATGTTCTAACAAACCTTTTATTTAAAAAATATTAATGGGTCCTAATCCATGAAACAACCATATAATTGAGTGATTGTTTTATATTTTTGTATAATAATTGAGTAATTTTTTTTTTTGTGATTTTGTATAATAATGAATAACATAAGATCTTGTGGAGTGAAAAATACTCTTCAAATATTTATTTTTAAAGAAAGTGGACAGTATAATAGTAGAATGTGAGATTTTTGGTTGATGCACGCAATGACATAGAAGAAAATCAAGTCGTGGTATTTAGTATTTACCCTTATACTGTACTTGATAAGTGAGACAAAGAATAATAATAACACGAGTTTCTTTTTGTTTGAAAAATACACTGTTGAAGAAGTAGAAAGATTAAAATGTTGCGAGGAGATACAAGTGAAGAAAAACTCCCACTATAACCAAATTAGCTTTTTATATGTGAGTGGTTGTGAGTACTGAGTATGTGTGTGTCACTATAACCAAATTAGCTCACCAAATTTATTGTTAGCTAAATTGAGTTTACTGTGTCAGTAGGGCTAAAAAAATAAACAGGATTTCATCAACCCTGTAGCATTGGGCGACTAAACAGTCAGCCAGGTCGGTCTCTAACTTTTACTAGTGCTTGTAGTACTATCTCTGTACCAATTAATTAAAAGGAAGAAATTTACTTATCTTCATGGATTCCCATTGGTAAATTAGGTGATTAAGGAAATGACAGATGGGGGTGCCGACTATTGTTTTGAGTGCATTGGATTAGCATCTGTAATGGAAGATGCTTTCAGTAGTAGCCGAAAGGTAAGCCAACCAACATGGACATTTTGGAGAGTGAGAGGATCTGTTTCTTAACTTATTGATCTTTGAATTAAATTAATTAATTATAATGTGGTTGGGTGACGAGATCAGGGATGGGGCAAGACAGTGATACTGGGAGTGGAGATGCATGGCACGCCATTGTCTTTGAACTGCTATGAGATTCTTAGAGGCAGAAGTGTTTGTGGTTCATTATTTGGAGGGCTCAAGCCCAAAACTGATATCCCACTTCTTGCCCAGAAATATCTGGACAAGGTTGTTAAGGTCTATATCATCTTTGAATGTTTTCGTTTGTTAATGAAGTGATGTCTCAAGTAAAAAGGTGTTTGTTTGTATTACAGCAGCTTCATCTGGATGATTTCATAACCCACCAAGTGAATTTACAGGATATTAACAAAGCTTTAGAGTTGCTTTTGGAAGGGAAAAGCCTCCGTTGTATCATATGGATGGATCAATAACTCAATCCGTTTCTCAAGCCTTGTAACAACAGTGATCAATAAAACTATTTCATCATTTAAATTAAAACTCTTAACATCTCCTATTGTAAATTTTCTTTTCAGCTTTGCAGTTTCTTCTAAATTCTGAAACCAAAAAAATGTATGAAGTTCTGAAATGTATTATTATTGCTGTTGCTATTAATTGTCAACGGTACATACCGAGTTATTTGTTTCAGAAGTTCCTTAAGAGGTGAAAACTTGCTAGGCAACCACATGATCAGTAAAAGGCTTGGGTCTGAGAAACCATAATGTAATTTTCATATAACCATTCCTCATCCAATATCAAAACGAGGTTTGGCATTATCGTTTCTCTACACTTTAAGGTTTAATGTTATCAACTGAATTTGAACATTATCTTCATCATACTATTCTTCAATCTTCAGTCATCAGCTTATCAAGTCGTGGAATTTAGCTTTATTCTGTGCTTAAGAAATAAGAGTGAATCACAAGCCGAAGGATAATAATGGTAAGAATAAACAAAAAATCGAATAAGTCCAATTTTCTCTTTAAGACAAAGGCAAGACACAAAATCAGGTTATCCCTTCATCAGTGTTTATCTCTGTCTGGTTGAGGTTAAAAAATATCTCTTTAGATTTTTTTTTTTTAAAATTTTTTTTATGGTAAATATAATACATCAACCTCTGACCAAAAGCAATTGCATAAGAATAAGATGACTCAGTGTCAAGGGTGTGTTAAACTTATTCCACCGAATTTGGTATCAAACCTCTTCCCCTGCCCGCCCCTCGCCCATCTTACATTGTAGCAGAAACAGAGCTTAAGGATATGATAACATCCCTGAATATGAATAGCATCTAAACTTAGCAATTTACTACTCTCAAAGCGTTAGTTCTAACAATTCCGTGGGGAAATGTCTTTCAATCAAACCTGAGGGGTGACATGTAATTAACCCTTGAGGGCCATAGCAAGTTACAAGAAAGTAGTGGTGAAGAAAGAGAGACTACATGAGAGTGTTTGGTTGCTAGAAAAGGTAAGCCACAATAAGCCAATTACGTCAAAATAGAATAAGATATTTTCTAACTAAAAGAATGAAATTATTAGCGTGTTGGGGTATGTTAATTACTAATAAAAGAACTTCGAAAATGAAGATCCAACCTCTTATTGCTGAAGAAAGAAATTTAGTTCAGCTAAACTTCACATCATAAATCCATCTAACACCTACAACTCGTTTGTTTCTGAAGCAATTATTTAACATCAATTCATTGCTGTTGAGTTTGCCCATCTACATATCTACCATTCTTTGCAGAATAGTAACAACGCAAAAGAAAGAGAAAGAAAGAAAAGACACAGCTCCATCGAAGGTGAATGCGTGAGATTTAATTCAGGCCGTTTATAGAATAAAGCGATGGAAAGCAAAAAGGCTTTGGCAACCACTAGAAAAGTTATAAGATGCAGAGGTTTTATTTATTTATTTTTCTGTATATTGGTTAAAAAATCATTACTACATGAGATAACTCCACCTTGCTTCTTTGGTTTTTCTTCCTTTTTCATGATATACCAAGCAGCCGCAATCGGCAGAAAGCCAGGAGTGCCACTATCGATAGAGGAAATTGAAGTTGATCCTCCAAAAGCTTGGGAGGTTCGAATCAAGATTCTATGCACATCCCTCTGTCACAGTGATATTACCTTCTGGAAATTAACTGCAGTAAGTTGTTCATTTCATTTGCTAATCAGATTTAGAAACACAAAATGCTCCATATTTTTAATGGGATGATCACCTCACCAGGGACCTGCTGCAATATTTCCCAGAATTTTTGGGCATGAAGCAGCTGGGTAAGTAATTCAACTCCACCGACTCTCTCTCTCTCTCTCTCTCCCCCTTCTATTATTGCAATTGTCATTTGTTTATTCACTTGTGTTAGTATTATTAATGTCATTTGGTTTATTACGGGGATGTTCAAGTGTTGTGGAGAGTGTAGGAGAGTAAGTAGAAGAAGTGAGAGAAGGAGACTTGGTTGTTCATGTGCTTCAAGCAAACTGCGGAGAATGTAGAGACTGCAAGTCAACAAAAAGCAACACTTGCACAAAATTTGGATTCAACTATCGAGTAGACATGCCAAGGGATGGAACAAGCAGGTTTAGAGACATGAATGGGGAGACTGTACACAATTTTTTGCGCGTGTCCAGCTTCACCGAGTACACTGTAGTTGATATCACGCATGTCGTCAAAATTACCAGCGAAATGCCACACGATAAGGCCTGTCTACTCGGCTGTGGAGTGTCAACCGGTAAGTCTGGCTAGAGAATAATAGGGAAAAGGAGATGAATTAGCCTAGTGAATTCATGACCTTCATTATACATTTACAATTTCACACATCGATTAAAAATGATTAAGTTTATTGTGTCGGTGATGACTGTTTCTCATGAGGGACGCAGGGGTTGGAGCAGCGTTCAAGGTGGCAGGAGTGGAAGAGGGATCCACTGTAGCAATCTTTGGGCTTGGGACTGTTGGACTTGCGGTATCGACTTGATCCCAACTAGACTTTGACTTTTCCTATGCGCCAGTAGCCACTGTGAATGATTGCCGTTTGGTACACCCATTTTCAGTATTCTATTCCTCCCTTAAATTTATTAATTTAACTAAACAATTCCCAAATTTTTTTTAAAAAATTAACAAAAACTCCATAGCAATCCACATTTACCAGATTTTGATCACCATCATCGGAAGCTAGCCAAAATCTGGTATAATAACACACTACTAGTTGGATCTGACCGGTAATACACCGATTTAGCCTTTTTTAACTAGATCCACGATAGATCTAGCTGAAAAATGTCAGATCTTTGACCGTAGCTAATCGTCACGATCATATCTTTGACCGTCGTTGACCACCAAATGCAACCAAATCTGGCCGTCAATGGTCAGATCTAACCGTGGATCTGGCCAGAAAAGGTCATATTGGTGCACGACCAGCCAGATCCAGTCGGTCGTGCATCGATACAATGACTCCGACCACCCTCCGGTGGTGGTGGCCAGTTGTCGGTATTTAATGGGTGCGTGGGAATGTTTTTGTTAACTTTTAATATTTTATTATAAGGGTGTTTAGTAAATAAACAAACATAATGGGTATTTTTGTTAGTTTTTAAATCCTATATCGTAATACTCACCCAATTTTTTTTTTTTTCCAAATATTATTTTAAAAAGTAACATAATAATGAAGCAAACGCACATTTCACTCTTGACACTTACCAACTCTGTCTCATGTATAAACGTAGGCGAAATCAGCTCCCGAAAATATTTTTTCTGAAATAAAACTTTTCATTTTGTGTTAAAGTACTTTTTATTTATTTTCACCTATTTAATGCTCATGCTTAAGCTTGGATAGTCGGATTTCACGTCCCTCTCTTTAAAAAGTCTACACAGTGATGTGTCGTGGATCCAACTATGAATTTTAGAGTTTATAAATTAGTTTGACAAACTTATAAACTTAGACAAACACCCCCTTAGTTCCATGTTTGGTATACATTATTGGTTTATTCAAAAACTTGTAGCAATTATAAGATCAATGAAAATTATTTACATTGATTTGAATTTAAGTCAATGGTAAAACTCAAGGACCATTGATGGTAGGTGTAAATTGTATTTTGCTACTCTTTGTATGACATTACCACTGAACCGGGGATAAGAAATGTCTAAGCTTTTTTTTTTTTTTTTTTTCCGTTTCCTAATCTAATCAGTGCAACTGATGTTGCGGTATGTTAAAACTCTTAATGCCTAAATGCCACCCAGATATAACCAAACACAAGGCTTGTTGAGCATTTACGTACATTCTTGGTGTATCTATGATCTATTAAATTAACTATGAAAATATAATTTTAATTTGTTGTATGTTTAACTCAGGTTGCAGAAGGAGCAAGGTTATGCAAAGCTTCAAAAATTATTGGTGTTGATTTAAATCCTGAAAAATTTGAACTAGGTCGGTGGTCTTACATAAAACCAATAATGTGAACAGAAACAGTTACCTACTTGAGTGTTTCCTTTTCATCGCAGGCAAAAAATTTGGAGTCACTGATTTCATCAACCCTGCAGAGTGTGGGGAGCAAACAATCAGCCAGGTCGGTCTCTAACTTACTATATAGCTAGTAATATTTTGTTTGATTAAAAGCAGAAATTGAACTTGTGTTTCATGGGTTCCTAATGGTTTATTAGGTGATTAAGGAAATGACAGACGGGGGTGCTGACTATTGCTTTGAGTGCATTGGATTGGCATCTGCAATGGAAGATGCTTTCAGTTGTAGCCGAGAGGTATGTCAACAACCAATTACATGTACATTTCGGTGGATCAGAGGATCTGTTTCCTCTTCGTCTTTAAATTAATTGATTATAGTGTTGTTGGATTCGTGAGATTAGGGGTGGGGGAAGACAGTGATACTGGGAGTGGACAAGATTGACCAGGCATTGTCTTTGAACTGCTATGAGATTCTTAGAGGCAAAAGTGTTAGCGGCTCATTGTTCGGAGGGATCAAGCCCAAAACTGATATCCCACTTCTTGCCCAGAAATATGTAGACAAGGTTTTTAAGCTATATCATCTTTCATCGATTTTGCTACTTAATTAGGTGATCTCTCAAGTAACAAGATGTTTGTTTGCATTACAGGAACTTCATCTGGATGATTTCATAACCCACCAAGTGAATTTCCAGGATATTAATAAAGCTTTTGAGTTGCTCCTGGAAGGGAAAAGCCTCCGTTGCATCATCTGGATGGATCAGTAACTGTCTCCCTTTCTCATGCCACTGTAACAACGGTGACCAATAAACTTATTTCATCATATAAATCAAAACTCTATATATCATCTCCCATTAATATATACTAAATGCATACTGTAATTTTTTTTTTTTAGCTTTGTAATCTCTTCCAAGTTCTGAAAAGCCAAAAAAAAATGTGATATATGTTATTATTGTTGTATTATTTTCATTTTATACTAATTATCATTGTTGCTATTTTAATTGTTAAAGGTAATGAATCTCAACCTTATAGTGCATACCAAGTTATTTGTTTTAGAAGTTAAGGCATGAGGTCAAGAAATCCTTAACCCGACAATGACATGATCAGTAAAAGGCCAAAATTTAGAAAGAAAGGTCATGGTCGCTAGAAAAAGAACTTCAGCAGCCACAAATACAGACCATAATCCAGAAATTATAAGTATACTACACAATTCTAACCAGCTCAAATGCTTTATGCAAGAGAATCTGGTCAATAATCAGGGGCATCCTGTGATGAGAAGATTATCTTATTGCAATTGTAATTTGTTTATCACTTGTGATAGCTAGTTTTAGTAATGTCATTTGGTTTATTATGGGGATGTTCAAGTGTTGTGGAGTATGTAGAAGAAGTGAGAGAAGGAGACTTGGTTGTTCATGTGCTTCAAGCAAACTGCGGAGAATGTAGAGATTGCAAGTCAACAAAAAGCAACATTTGCTCAAAATTTGGTTTAAACAATGGAGGAGACATGCCAAGGGACATGAATGGTGAGGTTGTGTACCATTTACTTCGCGTGTCCAGCTTCAACTAATACACTGTAGTGGATATCACGCATTAGTCAAAATTACCCGCGAAATACCAGTCGACAAGGCTTGTCTGCTTAGCTGGAGTGTCAACCGGTGACGGTGAGTCACAAATGTTCATGTTCAATATTTTTCATTTTTCAATGTGTGCTTGATTCATATACTTAATAGATAGACAATTTAAACGTGATAATTGAGTTTATTTTGTCAGTGCTGATTAATTATCTTCTCATGTGAGAGGCAGGGTTTGGAGCAGCATAAAAGGTTGCAGGAGTTGAAGAGGGGTCCACTGTGGCAATCTTTTGGTTTGGGGCTGTTGGGCTTCCGGTTCTTATTTGAACCCAGAAATATATATGTCAAAAGAGTAATGTTACGTTCATCGAAGGTTATGCACCGAATGACGCGACAAAATCATGATCGTTGATTAATATTAACTAATAATGAATCAACGGTTAGGATTTTATCACGTCATTTGGTGCACAGATTCGGTGCACAACCTTCGGTGGCTCTATCATTTTCAATGTCAAAATTATTCTTCAATCTTCGTTTCTTAGATGGTGAGAGTGAGACCGATATTAAGACTCTGATAAAGAGTGGAGTCCGATTCCTAAACTGCCTAATGCCTATACGCCACTAAAATTACAAACATACATGAGCCTTCTTTTCATAAGCATGTACATTCATGTTATATGCCTACATCTAAATGTTGTGCCAAAATTAGTCACCATTTATAGCAAGATATCAGTCACCAATTAGGATCCAACAATAGCAAGAACCAGAGAAATACAAGTGGTCATCAACTCACCTTGATAATCAACATCCATCTTAACTTAGCTTTCAAGTCAACATCTAGATCGTTGATACTCTCCACATGTTACAACAAGATTAAGAGTAGTCTGTCAAGTAATCATCATCTTGCAATCCGCTAAATAACATCTGGAGCATCGTTTGAATTAAAACTTGATATCTCTCATTATTTATTAATATATATATATATTTTTTTTTAGCTTTGCAATTTCTAAAAACCAAAAAACAGACCCGACTAAAAGTCTGCAAATTATAAAAATGGCGAGTACAACAACACAATCCTTATTCCTACCTTCCTCAGTTGCTTTATTTCTGATCATTTAAGCTGGGGGCATCCGGTGGCTGTGGACATTATATATCTCAATTGCAAGTTGTAACATTTTACAGAAAAATTACTTCTACGGAAGATTGTTCCTCAAAAAAAACCAAAAGGCACTACCATCATTATTCAAAAAGAAAATTTTACTTGTTGAGTGATTATACAAAAGACTGAAGACCACACCCAACCTTATTAGCACACCTCTTTGGAAATACCTACTATAATTTGTAAGCTAGTGATCAACAGATCTAGTCATGAAGTAGTGACCCATTTGCTAAATGCATTCTAGGCCCGTCTCGGCCCAGCTAGCCACCCAGTTACTGCTGTTTCTAGAATGTGAATGTTATCCTGTTAGGTCGCCATATTTCACGGAGCTTCTTAAATAAACGAAACGTGGCAAATGCTGAATCGATTAAAACATTTTTACCACTAATGTAAAACAGTGAAAATTACTAAATCCTGAACTACCCTTCTACAGTATCTCTCTTGCAACGTAATAATCTGCTTTTGGCGTTGGCCGCCTCTTGAACTAAGCGACTGCCAGTTGAAGAACACAGATCGCTTTCTTATCTATCAATGGCGGAAGCCCAAAACGACAAAACTCCGTCCCTAGCTGAGGTGCCATTTCTCTCTCATCCTATTTATTTTCGTTTTTTAAACTAAAGAATAATTGGTCCAACAAATTCACAATCAGTATCGTTTAAGTTCGATCCGTGTTTCTTGTAGCTGATTTGACTTGAACAGATCGGTTCGTGGAATTTCCAAAAGTATTTAATTACAATTTTAATTATAATAATAAGTTTGTGGCGTACTGTGTGCTGCTGATTGAGAGTTCTATCGACATCTGATTATGCTTAATGAAATATGGTGGAAATTAAATTCTGATGCAATGTGAAGCAAAATTTTTCTCTTTTAAGCTGCCGCAGGATAAAATGACATTGACTGATTTTGTGTAATTTAAGTCAACCCTCTAAACTAGCTTTTGTTCTGCTCTAGATTTAAGACTGATATATTGGATGATACTGCTCTATTAAATTGCAATTTGTTTTCCGTTTCCTGATGGTCTTAACTTCAGTGGTGGTGAAGACTGTTTGGTTTCATTGAGGTTTAAGGATCTTGTTTAGGTTTGCTCAACAGAGAAATAAACCACTGATGTTTGTTAATCAATAAATTGAAGACTCAACCTTAAGTTGCGAGCTTGTTATAGCAGATTTTAGAACTGCATATGGTGTCGGTTTGTCTGATGCTTGTGGGTAGTGGATGTCGATATTTTGTAGTTTTGCCCACATTGCTTCAAATCCCCATGATAAATTTTAAGAAACTTGCCTACAGCCTATCAAGCTTGTAACCTTGAGCTTGGTTAAATGGAAGTGAAATCGCTCAAACATGCTATATACATTTGGGTCAACCATGACTGAAACTTTGGCCTTTAACCATCACACTATTTTTATGTTTACAAGGGTGCAAATTCTTCTTCTGTATTCAGCATCAAACATATTCATAGTTGTTTATTCTTGCCTTATTATAATTTGAGCTCATTATTGTGAAATTCTTTTGGATTGTGCTTTGATGTGTAGGAATATTTGTTGAAGGGAAAAGAGGAGAAGGAAGATGTGACTGTAAAACCTGCGGAAGTAAAAGAGGTTGAGACCCCAGTGACTGCCGATTCTGAGGAAGTTGTCACTGAGAAAGCTGAGGAAACACCTGCTGCTGCTGCTGTTGAAGAAAGTCCACAAGTCACCCCTGCTCCTACTATTGAAGAAAGCAGTGAAACCACTCCTGTTTCTCCTGAGGAAAACAGTGGTGAAGCTGCTGTAGCTGCTGCTGAGGAAAGCAGTGAAACTACTGAAAACTCGGACGAAAAGGAGAAAGATGAAGAAGAGACACCAGAGATAAAGGTTAGTAATTACCCATAACAGTAGTTTGCTCACTTGCCGCCTATTCATGTAATGTGTTTGCTAGTTGCATTTTTGTGTTCTTTCTGTTGACTTGTTTATTTGATTTACTGTTGGCATATAGCTGGAGACAGCACCTGCAGATTTCCGTTTCCCAACTACAAATCAAACAAGGCATTGCTTTACCCGTTATATTGAGTATCACCGGTGAGTTAACCTTTTCTTTTCAATTAACTCCGAAGCTAGTCTTTAGCATAAGAATTTATAGCATATTATTGATCATTTTGATCTTTACAGGTGTGTAGCTGCCAAGGGAGAAGGTGCCCCAGAGTGTGATAAGTTCGCAAAATATTATCGTGCTCTTTGCCCTGGAGAATGGGTATGTATTACCAACACATGGCATGCCTCAAGAAGTTATATATGCTTTTGTTTCTCAAATGTATTTTGAGATCTCAAATGTATTGTTCACCTCTGCGATGTGATTGTCTTGCATATGAAAATTTAGTATGGATACTGATTGTACATACTATTACTGGACTGGAGAGCTACTACAAATTATTTTCCTTATCACTAATATTATTTTCTACCTTTTCTTTCCTACATACTTTCTACTTCATCATGAAGATAGCAGTTCTCTGTATCTGGCTGCTTAGTTGTGGATTGCCGTAATCTTACATTTTAAATATTTCCTTAGATTAGATTTGTTGCTGTTTTGTATTACCATATTATCTTTTGTTGACTTTGTTATAATGTGAATGTTTCTCGTTGAGCTAACTTTTACATCGTGTGTGGTTTTCAGATTGACAGATGGAATGAGCAACGGGAGAATGGCACCTTTCCCGGTCCTCTGTAGATGGTGCTTCTTTTGCGAGCCTGGATGTCGTTTGCTTCCTGCTGTTAAACCCGAGTTGCCATTTTGAATCCATAGATAAAATTCTTGGTTGAGAAGTGAATTCTCAGAGATGTTTTCTAAAATTTAATGAGTTAATAAAAATTTTTGGCTTGTCAATTAGAACTGGTTCAAGTCCAAACAAGGAGATGTATTGCTCAACACGAAAGTTATTGCTTACCATCTCGAGATAAAGTTTTTTACCCATCATATTTTTCCTGCGGCGGAGTGCTTGCTGTATAATGGTTTCAGGCTACTTAATGGAGCCCGTTATATCTGTAGAATTATATATCAAAACTAATAATGAGATCAGTCTTTTTCAGTTGGTAATGCCTCATTGAAAATTTATTATTTATACTGTATAGGTTATCTTCGGTTTGAGGGAGTGATGATATCATTTCTTGTCGTTCATAATATAAAGACTAATATTATATCTATAATCTAATCTCGCGAGGTTTTCTTAGAATCTTAATGTAACAATTGAATCGATAATTATCATGTTAGTTCTTATTACACTTAAGTTATTAAATGACTTTGATTAGATATAAATGATTGTTTATTAAAGACGAACGGTCGTTTTTTTATAAAGAATAATCGTTTCTTATGAAAGAATGATTGTTCTTTCATTAGGAATAAATGAATGAATTTCTGATTTTTATGAACATAAAAAATGATTTTTTTTACGAAAAAACAATAATTGTCTCTTATAAATAGAATAGTCATTCATTTTGATTGAGTAGTCGTTTGTATTTAAGAAATAATTGTTCCTAATGGTTGTTTATATTTAGCCAAACTAATCAGTTGACTTGGTAGGATTAAAAAAAATTGTGAGATTGCTGTAAATCGTAGTATTTTTTATATAAGTCATACGACTTTCACAAATGACACCATCTAAAAATAAATAAATAAAAGCGGGTCTTTGTAAAAGATAATTAGAGCTGAAAATAGCGGTCTCATAATTGAAGGCAGGTCGCAGAGTACTGTACCATGGCAACTACAATGCATACAATGAAGCTTGTTGCAATTCCTGCATCCCTTTCTTCTTCGCGATTCATGTTTAGGCCGATTTCCAAAACCCTCAGCTTAGGTTTAATTTCCCGCCATAATTACTCTCAAAAACTTCCATTTCCACTTCTCGCTAGAGCACTTTCCTCACCTGCCTTACAAACCGCCGAAACCACGGATAACAAAGGTGAGCATCGTTCTTGATATTATTATTTTATTTGACTATTCAAAACTGACTTTGATTTAATTTTGTTTGTTTGGAGTTGGTTTAGTTGTGAAGCAGCAATGGAAGGCGGCGATTGATTTCAAGTGGATAAGAGATAACAAGGAAGCTGTTTCAGCCAATATAATAAACAGGAATTCCAATGCTAATTTGGAGCTTGTGCTTCAGCTTTATGAGAAAATGCTGAATGTCCAGAAGGTTAGGTTTCTCTTTAATCGAATGTCGCCTGTACTGCTTATGCATTTCTGTCTGCGCTTTATGTTAATTGTATTTGAAGTATAAACTATCTGTACACTTTCAGAATGTAATTTAAAGAATACACTTATTTGGCTTCAATAGTCACTCGGAATTTTTAACACAAGCTGAAATAAAATTGAAATCTTCACGACTGTACCATATGATCCTAAACCTAAATGTATGCAATTTGAGTTAAGGTTCTATTAGGTGTTTTTGCTTTTTCAGTTAAGGCATTATGAAATTGTAAATGCATATAAAAAGACAACAAATCATTTAAAATGAAATAATATTTCTGATAATCCATATCCTCACTTTTCACATAATAAGAAGTTTTATTGTAGTTTGACCTTGAATTCAACTTGGCATTGCTTTCAGCTCCATTTCTAGAATTTGTCTTTAGATTTGAGCTTAAACTGAAAAGTAATAACAAATTTTATGAATAAAACTTAATCAGAAATTTGAACTGCTTTCCTTCTCAGTTTTATCTAATTGTCACTCACAGATAGCAGGAAGTTGAACGGCTTCGTGAGGAAAGGAATGCGGTTGCAAACAAGATGAAAGGAAAACTTGAACCATCTGAGCGTCAAAAACTCATAGAAGAAGGTATGGTCAGAGTATATTATCATGCTTTTAGCGTCCTTTTGTATCGTATTGTCTTCTCATCCTTTGTTATATTTGGCATTCAGGAAAGAATTTGAAGGAAGGACTTATGACTTTGGAAGAAGACCTGGTTAAACTCACTGATGAGCTTCAGCAAGAAGCACAATGTATACCGAATATGACTCATCCAGATGTGCCAATAGGAGGGGAGGATTGTTCAACAATAAGAAAAATGGTATCTCAAATCTGTTTTTTCCTCAGATTACAGTTCTGATCTATTGGCTATTGGCCCGTCTTTGTGTCTGTGCTTCTGTGTGTGTAATCATTTTTTTGATGGCAGGTTGATAAAGCTAGGTTCATACAGCTTTAATTCACTTTTCTAGTTCTCCTGTAGGTTGGTAGCCCATGCGAGTTGAACTTCCCCGTCAAGGATCACCTGCAGCTTGGGAAAGAACTGGATATCCTTGAGTTTGATGCAGCTGCAGAGGTACCAATTCTCTCTAATACTTGGTATTAAAGCATATTTTATTGGTATCGTTAGTCTGATTGGATATTGAGAGGTTTCAAATTCTGGATTGTCTCACCCACCTTGTAGGTTCCTAAGATAGGAGCTCATTAATGACAATCTCACTTAGCTAAGCACAATTTTATTTTATTTTCAGTAAGAAACTGCCATCTTTAGTATGAAATTTTCTTGACTTGTCCATCAATTGGAAGGAAAAGCAGTTGAAATTACTATTACTTGGTAAATCAAGATAACTAGCTTAATGTTGGCTCACTGGTATTCTTCAGTGTTTCCTTGAATTTCATCAGCAGATATGTACTTGTAAACTTGAATTGTCTTTTTATATTCGGTCACTGCAGTGCAGTCCTCATGCATGTACATGTTACTATTACAGGTCCTGCTGAAATTGGAAAAGTTTATTACTTTATTGTAAGTTTAAACCTGTGATTTTAACCCCAAATGATAAGAGTTTGGCAGTTTTCACATCTGTTTAGCATGACAAAAGGGGACTTACTTCACTTTTTAAGCTTTAGTATTCTCATGGTTAATACAGGTCAGTGGCTCAAAATTCTATTACCTGAAGAATGAAGCTGTTATGCTAGAGATGGCCCTTGTCAATTGGACACTTTCAGAAGTGATGAAAAGGGGATTTACACCTTTAACAACCCCTGAACTTGTAAGATCTTCTGTTGTTGAAAAATGTGGCTTCCAACCCCGTGGGACAAATACACAGGTATGTACAATATTCTGTTTCTGTACACTTTTCTGAGAATGACATACCACCTTTCCAAGTGTGCTTGTCACAAAAGATGTTTGCCCTCTGTATTATTAATTATAGCCTTTATGTTGTGGGTTTATGGAAAATTCAACATTTGAACCATTTTGACCATGAGCTGGTCACTTTACTGGGTCAAGACGATCATATGATGATTTGAGCCTTAAGTTGGTGAAGACCTCTCTGAAGATGGAATATTTAAACTTTCAGAGCAGAAATGTCTTGATAATTTTCCAAATATGTAACAGGTCTATTCTATTGACGGAAGTGACCAATGCCTTATCGGCACAGCAGAGATTCCTGTTGGGGGAATTCATATGGATTCTATTCTTGCTGAGTCATCTTTGCCTTTGAAGTATGTGGCATTTTCTCATTGCTTCCGCACTGAGGCAGGTGCTGCAGGCACAGCAACAAGGTAATTCAGTAGGTGATATTCATTTCTGAGTTATTTAACCATCTTCTAATCCCTTTCAGTTTTGCCTTCTCTCATAACTTCGGATACACTTGCGTGACGCACTGATCTTTAATCCTTCGACAAATGGGATAATTTCAAGCTATCCAAAAGTTGTTAATAAAGTTCAGTAGATTAAGTATAGCCTCGATTGATTGTATAATAGATGCAATATAAAAGAGGGATGCCCTTATAAAAGCCACAAATGTTAAGGTGCTTACTATCAGGACTATTAAAAACAGGGTGGTAATCTAGATGTGGCAGCTGTTATACTGTCCTTACGTCATATTTAAATCCCCATATATCAAATCACTAACCATCGGTAAACCTTCCACTGCATGTTTAAGACCGTACCTTCCACTTCATGAGCTTCTCTACAAAGGTGAAGTTTCTAGTTTGAGCCTGTTTGTCATGATATTATAAGATTGAAAAAAAAAAATTATGTGCAGTTCCGTAGGAACTGGTCAAAGTCCATTGATTGTCATTCTTTTGCATATTCACTGAATTGGCCCTATACTGAGCCTGTGCACCACTAAGCACATGCCATTTCTCCAGTTGCAGTGTTCAAGTCTTGAGGTTTTGATTCAGTACAAGTAGTCTACATTATGATTGCTACATTCTTGCTTGAATATGTTCAAAATTTGTGTTGATTTTAGAAGTTTCTGTATTATATGGTAATCTTATGGAATTTCTGAGCAGGGGTCTTTATCGAGTACACCAGTTCAGCAAAGTGGAGATGTTCATCTTAAGCCGACCAGAGGACAGCAATTCATACCATGAAGAGCTCATTGGAATTGAAGAAGATCTCTTCTCATCACTAGGATTACACTACAAGTAGGGATTCTAATCAACCATCTTTGTGAAAGCTTACATGGTTTTTCCTTTGTTGTTATCATGATAGCTGTCGCTTTCTTGGCAGAACTTTGGATATGGCCACCGAAGATTTGGGTGCTCCTGCATATCGTAAATTTGATGTTGAGGCATGGATGCCAGGTTTAGGGCGTTATGGTGAGGTATTGCAATGAGATATATATATATATATTTTAATCCAAATTCCATGAGATTCACATATATCGGTTTTTAATGCTATGAACCTTTTCTATCTAATATTTTGAAATATGTATTTATGGAGCAGATATCTAGTGCATCAAACTGTACAGACTATCAAAGCCGCCGACTGGGAATTCGTTATCGCCCTGCACAACCATCATCTACGAATTCTAAGAAGGGTAAAGGCCCAACACAGTTTGTTCACACATTAAATGCAACAGCTTGCGCAGTTCCGCGGATGATTATCTGTTTGCTGGAGAACTACCAGCAGGAGGACGGCTCTGTTATTATCCCTCAACCACTGAGGCCCTTCATGGGTGGGCTTGAGCGTATATTTCCTAGATCCAGGTAGGATGTTATTATACCTCGACCATTGAGGCCCTTCATCCATGGGCTCGAGCTTATATCTCTTAGATCCAGCTAGTATGATTGTATTATTATTTNAGGGATTCTAATCAACCATCTTTGTGAAAGCTTACATGGTTTTTCCTTTGTTGTTATCATGATAGCTGTCGCTTTCTTGGCAGAACTTTGGATATGGCCACCGAAGATTTGGGTGCTCCTGCATATCGTAAATTTGATGTTGAGGCATGGATGCCAGGTTTAGGGCGTTATGGTGAGGTATTGCAATGAGATATATATATATATATATTTTAATCCAAATTCCATGAGATTCACATATATTGGTTTTTAATGCTATGAACCTTTTCTATCTAATATTTTGAAATATGTATTTATGGAGCAGATATCTAGTGCATCAAACTGTACAGACTATCAAAGCCGCCGACTGGGAATTCGTTATCGCCCTGCACAACCATCATCTACGAATTCTAAGAAGGGTAAAGGCCCAACACAGTTTGTTCACACATTAAATGCAACAGCTTGCGCAGTTCCGCGGATGATTATCTGTTTGCTGGAGAACTACCAGCAGGAGGACGGCTCTGTTATTATCCCTCAACCACTGAGGCCCTTCATGGGTGGGCTTGAGCGTATATTTCCTAGATCCAGGTAGGATGTTATTATACCTCGACCATTGAGGCCCTTCATCCATGGGCTCGAGCTTATATCTCTTAGATCCAGCTAGTATGATTGTATTATTATTTGTTTTTGTTGAGGGAGATAATATCCATGGAACAGCAATCGCAATTTTGTTGGTGATATAAGAGATCTTGCAGCTAGCCCTTGATGGAACGAGGAATAGAAGATGCAAAATTTGATAAAAGAAATGAGTTTTTGTTAGAGGTGGTGAATTTTTCAATTGAATATTTTGATCTTCTTTCTTTTTGCATTAGCAGATTAATTATTATTGATTTAGATTTGAACTTTCATTTGTAAAATTCGAGGGAAATTTATTCTGGAAGTAGTCAATTCTGAAAATGACAGAAACTCCAAGTGATTACCGAGTCTCCTGCGGGTAGGCTGATTTGGGCTACAAACACATTAAGATCATTTTTACTTGGGCCATCAATTCATCAATCCAAAGAAGACAGTCTTGTTAGTTAACAACAACGAAGGTCATCATCAAATAATTCAAGCAAATTCCCAAATGAAGATCATGCACCGCGACAAGTACGATATGCATATGATAAGATATGGAGATGCATCCAATCAGACGGGTGAGAATAAGATTGGTGTTCACCTAAATTGCAGAGAAATTGTATACAAGCAATGTTAATATGACTATAGGTTCACGGAGTCATAACCAGTTAGCATCTTAATGTTGTAGTGGATTTGAATTGCTTGGCCTTCTTTAGGCCATAACTTGCCCAAACATATCTAACAAGTGGAATGCCATTCTTTAATTTGCCAACAAAAAAATAAGATATGGACTTGTATGAGCAGGTACGTTAAGACGAGAGATAATTAACCAATCCTTCATATTTTCTATATTTTTCCAATCAGACTGGAAAACTCGTTAGAACAAGAGATCATATATTCTTTCATTCTGCAATGGTAAGTTGTAGAGTTACAGACATCTCGAAGTTCAAGTTTTTAAACCTAATGAATCAACTCGTTATGTGGATCGAGAGCTTGTACAAGGATATCTCTGAAAAAAACAAAAATTGTTGTTGGAATGAAATAATGCACTAGCCGTATTTGGTGCTTCTGCCTTGAATTTGATAACATCATTTGCTTCTCTACAATTTGAGTTTGCTCAATTCAATTTTTTTAACAGGATATGTGTAGGCCTCGTAGTTGATTTGTTGGCCAAAACTACTTAATTTGGTCAGAGTTGTTATCAGATCAACCTGTAAAATAATCAATTGCACAACTGAGACGAGGAATTAAAAGTCAATCCAACAATATTGCACAGATACATCGACACAAGAAAGGAGGTTGTCATCTTTGGTACCTAGTAAAAGCATAAAGATATTATCAAACTAACCTCGTAATCTGTCTCAGAAACTGTTTCTCGGCTACGTTGGTATTTCTGAACCCATGGAGAAACATCTGGATCAGTCGCCAATAAGGCCTCTGTTGCTGATTGATCAGGACCCAAGAATGCAGACATAACAGCCAGCTGCCCAAACAACAGAGGATTTACAAAGAGCCAGATGAAAAAATGTTAATCATGACACTGTTAGAATAGTGAATGCAGCATGACATCTACAATATAGTCATCCTGTTGTGAGGAAATCCTCTACCCAATGCATTATTAATGTTATTTTCAGCCCTTCAAGTTCATCTCTTTAATGATTATATTAAGTGGAATTCAAGGCAAAAAATGAACCAAAATCATATGTTCACATTTTACATTTTTACTTAAGAGGATGCCTTCCTGGGGTGTTTGCCTCAGTCCATTTCATGATGATGCACGACCATAAAGGAGCAACTGTGTCTGTAGCAGAGAGTTTACCTGGCGAGGACCAAGGCCAATTGCTGAAAACTTATCTTTCATTTCCTGAACAGAAGCTTTCTCCCACTGGGGCACCCTCCCCTCTGGATCTGGCTCCTGCGTATCTGCCCTTCCAAATTGCCTATCAAATAAGCCCCACTGTAGCACAACAGCTTACACATTATACGTAATAAAACTTCCTCTACTAGTAGCAAGGACAGAGAAATAAAATATAAAGATTATATGCTTTAAGGCCAAAGGAGAAACCATTGCTTTGCATTAATGCCCTTACAAAGCAACTGAAGAAAAAAAAAATTGAGAAAGAGTAATTTCAGCAACAGTAACATAGTAGAAACTCAACTATGAGGTGGTTCAGGAAATTTGATAACTATTTAATATCTTCTGGCCAAAGATGACCATAGTTCCGTTAGTGACTGGTAACTCTGCTTAGACTGTCAACACAAACTACAAAATTTTGCTTAAACTAGATAGGACATTCTTTCTTTTAGTCCAATCTCTTGCACCACTTCAAGAAATTTAACACAACTAGACATAATATAAAGGATGATTTGAAAATAAATGTACAACAACGTACAAAAAAAACAAATTAACCTGTCCATTTGAACCATAGGCAGTGTATAGTAACCTCCCTTTCTCTTCATTCCCTCCACATTTGCGGATAGCAGATGCCAGAAAAGTAGCCTTCAGCGCACTTTGTGCTAGATTCATTGAAGAAAATAGAGTCAGTAGCCTTCTCTCTAAGCACACCACAGAAACTGAAGTAAACAATCATAACATGCTGCACAGCCCAAACTTGGTAATATCTAATATCTATAACCTGCATATTGGATGAGATCTGCAAAGGATATTGGTCCACCCTTGGAATATGAATCTATCTCCTTCTTCGCTTCCTCTATTAAATTCAAAGCAGCAGAAAGCCCTTTATTTTCAGGTCTGCTTATCTCTGAGCTTCAGGCAAGAAAATTGCAGAAGAAAAAAAGGTAACTAGATGGGAAGTACTTTATTGCAGTGAAAGGGAAAGCTTGATTGCTAAAGCAACTGAAACTTCATGAAACCCAAATTTTATCAAAAATATGATATTTGATAAAATCATCATGACAAGCATAATATGAAATTTGTTCCATTCAAATGTTCCTCTAAGATGACAAAGCGCTTGATCAAATAATAGCTTAGCAAACTATTTGAAACAATGCTACATATAGCAAATACCTGAACCGTATGGATCCATTTGCACCTCCAGATTTTGTAGTCTACAAGCTTAACAGCATGGCATCAGTTTATCTCTTTCCTCATCCATAACTAAGAATTTCTACCATATTCAGATGAAATTTAAATAGTTATAGGCTTTTATCTGACCTTATCATATGTCATGGCATCATTCAGTGACAAAGTCAGAATTGATGGAATAAGATCTTGTTTCCCCTGAAATGGTTACCGACAAACAAGTGAAAACAATGCAAATTGAACCAATGATGAACCTAATGCACTTATATATGAGGTCCCTGCATATATATACTAAGACTAATTCACTAGACATGAATGAATGATAAACCAACCTGTAGCGCAGTTAGGAGGGTTCCCTTAACATCAGCTGTTAAGAAAAAGATGTAGATTTGGTTAACCCGATTCCTACTTGTTTAAGAAAGGGAAGAGGTCTGTTTAGAACTTACAGAGAAACTCGGAACGCTGTCTCCGTTGTATCAAATCAGCAGCACTTGCCATTTCAACGAATGACCCTGAGCTCGCTACTATTTCCTAATGAGAGACCACAACTGACAGAAACTCATCATCACATCAATCTTAATTATTAAGTTACAAATTAGAAAGATGATGTATAAACCTCAAATTGGAACTTCGTAGATGACTACTTTTTTAAATGGCGCAATTAGAACTACAGTCATGTTACCAATATACATCAAGTAATACGTATTCCGGTTTTTCCTTTAAATGCAAAAGTTCATTAAAAAAATACTATAAATATTTACAGGAAACAGAAAAAATACTATTCATAAATTTATCATGTTAAAAGATAGCTCTATGAATTTGCTTTCCAGACATTGAACTGGGTCGATCATCGTTTGGAGAAAACGAAGCAAACTCAGTATCATGCAAATGTGTTAAGTTGAGCATGTAATGATGAGTGATGAGCCAATAAGAAGCATAAAATTCAATACTTGCCTCCTTTTATAGTGATTGAATAAATAAAAGGAACAAATGCAATAAACAGAGGAAAGAAATTAAAAATTGATCTCACCATGCCAATGGTAGCACCAAAGCATTTGAGAACATCTCTTCTATGGAAACCATTCTCACCAACATCGTTCTCTAGTTTATGACAACGAATGACAACCTGATTACTCTTATTAGAACAAAACAAACACACCATGTCTCAGCATTATCTCAAGTTCAAGTTTTATAAATGAAGAACCATTTTAAATGAGACATTTAGAATTCACTAACACGAAAAACAAAGAGACATTCAGTAACTTACTGCATGTGCTGAGAATCTGGTAGTGGCATTGGTAGTGGAAGTGGAAGTGTTGAGAGAAACAATGGGAACCAGAGAAGGAAGTGTTGAGAGGAATGAGACACCCATTGTCTCTTGATTTTTCTTCTTACCCAAGTTTCGAAAAAGGATCTTTGTTTATGAATCCAGAGACTGAAAAGTGCGGGCCTATAATTGGATTACATGTGTGGAGTGTGCATGATATGTGTTATCCTATCTTTGATGACTAGGATCACTTCCTGAAATTTCCTTATATTGGATTAATCGGCCGCCCCAACACACCTCTTTTAATTTCTGTCATGGGCTCGGGTCGGATCCCCTTGCCAAGTATTTTTGTATGAGCAGGTACGTTAAGACGAGAGATAATTAACCAATCCTTCATATTTTCTATATTTTTCCAATCGGACTGGAAAACTCGTTAGAACAAGAGATCATATATTCTTTCATTCTGCAATGGTAAGTTGTAGAGTTACAGACATCTCGAAGTTCAAGTTTTAAAACCTACTGAATCAACTCGTTATGTGGATCGAGAGCTTGTACAAGGATATCTCTGAAAAAAACAAAAATTGTTGTTGGAATGAAATAATGCACTAGCCGTATTTGGTGCTTCTGCCTTGAATTTGATAACATCATTTGCTTCTCTACAATTTGAGTTTGCTCAATTCAATTTTTTTAACAGGATATGTGTAGGCCTCGTAGTTGATTTGTTGGCCAAAACTACTTAATTTGGTCAGAGTTGTTATCAGATCAACCTGTAAAATAATCAATTGCACAACTGAGACGAGGAATTAAAAGTCAATCCAACAATATTGCACAGATACATCGACACAAGAAAGGAGGTTGTCATCTTTGGTACCTAGTAAAAGCATAAAGATATTATCAAACTAACCTCGTAATCTGTCTCAGAAACTGTTTCTCGGCTACGTTGGTATTTCTGAACCCATGGAGAAACATCTGGATCAGTCGCCAATAAGGCCTCTGTTGCTGATTGATCAGGACCCAAGAATGCAGACATAACAGCCAGCTGCCCAAACAACAGAGGATTTACAAAGAGCCAGATGAAAAAATGTTAATCATGACACTGTTAGAATAGTGAATGCAGCATGACATCTACAATATAGTCATCCTGTTGTGAGGAAATCCTCTACCCAATGCATTATTAATGTTATTTTCAGCCCTTCAAGTTCATCTCTTTAATGATTATATTAAGTGGAATTCAAGGCAAAAAATGAACCAAAATCATATGTTCACATTTTACATTTTTACTTAAGAGGATGCCTTCCTGGGGTGTTTGCCTCAGTCCATTTCATGATGATGCACGACCATAAAGGAGCAACTGTGTCTGTAGCAGAGAGTTTACCTGGCGAGGACCAAGGCCAATTGCTGAAAACTTATCTTTCATTTCCTGAACAGAAGCTTTCTCCCACTGGGGCACCCTCCCCTCTGGATCTGGCTCCTGCGTATCTGCCCTTCCAAATTGCCTATCAAATAAGCCCCACTGTAGCACAACAGCTTACACATTATACGTAATAAAACTTCCTCTACTAGTAGCAAGGACAGAGAAATAAAATATAAAGATTATATGCTTTAAGGCCAAAGGAGAAACCATTGCTTTGCATTAATGCCCTTACAAAGCAACTGAAGAAAAAAAAAATTGAGAAAGAGTAATTTCAGCAACAGTGACACAGTAGAAACTCAACTATGAGGTGGTTCAGGAAATTTGATAACTATTTAATATCTTCTAGCCAAAGATGACCATAGTTCCATTAGTGACTGGTAACTCTGCTTAGACTGTCAACACAAACTACAAAATTTTGCATAAACTAGATAGGACATTCTTTCTTTTAGTCCAATCTCTTGCACCACTTCAAGAAATTTAACACAACTAGACATAATATAAAGGATGATTTGAAAATAAATGTACAACAACGTACAAAAAAAACAAATTAACCTGTCCATTTGAACCATAGGCAGTGTATAGTAACCTCCCTTTCTCTTCATTCCCTCCACATTTGCGGATAGCAGATGCCAGAAAAGTAGCCTTCAGCGCACTTTGTGCTAGATTCATTGAAGAAAATAGAGTCAGTAGCCTTCTCTCTAAGCACACCACAGAAACTGAAGTAAACAATCATAACATGCTGCACAGCCCAAACTTGGTAATATCTAATATCTATAACCTGCATATTGGATGAGATCTGCAAAGGATATTGGTCCACCCTTGGAATATGAATCTATCTCCTTCTTCGCTTCCTCTATTAAATTCAAAGCAGCAGAAAGCCCTTTATTTTCAGGTCTGCTTATCTCTGAGCTTCAGGCAAGAAAATTGCAGAAGAAAAAAAGGTAACTAGATGGGAAGTGCTTTATTGCAGTGAGAGGGAAAGCTTGATTGCTAAAGCAACTGAAACTTCATGAAACACAAATTTTATAAAAAATATGATATTTGATAAAATCATCATGACAAGCATAATATGAAATTTGTTCCATTCAAATGTTCCTCTAAGATGACAAAGCGCTTGATCAAATAATAGCTTAGCAAACTATTTGAAATAATGCTACATATAGCAAATACCTGAACCGTATGGATCCATTTGCACCTCCAGATTTTGTAGTCTACAAGCTTAACAGCATGGCATCAGTTTATCTCTTTCCTCATCCATAACTAAGAATTTCTACCATATTCAGATGAAATTTAAATAGTTATAGGCTTTTATCTGACCTTATCATATGTCATGGCATCATTCAGTGACAAAGTCAGAATTGATGGAATAAGATCTTGTTTCCCCTGAAATGGTTACCGACAAACAAGTGAAAACAATGCAAATTGAACCAATGATGAACCTAATGCACTTATATATGAGGTCCCTGCATATATATACTAATACTAATTCACTAGACATGAATGAATGATAAACCAACCTGTAGCGCAGTTAGGAGGGTTCCCTTAACATCAGCTGTTAAGAAAAAGATGTAAATTTGGTTAACCCGATTCCTACTTGTTTAAGAAAGGGAAGAGGTCTGTTTAGAACTTACAGAGAAACTCGGAACGCTGTCTCCGTTGTATCAAATCAGCAGCACTTGCCATTTCAACGAATGACCCTGAGCTCGCTACTATTTCCTAATGAGAGACCACAACTGACAGAAACTCATCATCACATCAATCTTAATTATTAAGTTACAAATTAGAAAGATGATGTATAAACCTCAAATTGGAACTTCGTAGATGACTACTTTTTTAAATGGCGCAATTAGAACTACAGTCATGTTACCAATATACATCAAGTAATACGTATTCCGGTTTTTCCTTTAAATGCAAAAGTTCATTAAAAAAATACTATAAATATTTACAGGAAACAGAAAAAATACTATTCATAAATTTATCATGTTAAAAGATAGCTCTATGAATTTGCTTTCCAGACATTGAACTGGGTCGATCATCGTTTGGAGAAAACGAAGCAAACTCAGTATCATGCAAATGTGTTAAGTTGAGCATGTAATGATGAGTGATGAGCCAATAAGAAGCATAAAATTCAATATTTGCCTCCTTTTATAGTGATTCAATAAATAAAAGGAACAAATGCAATAAACAGAGGAAAGAAATTAAAAATTGATCTCACCATGCCAATGGTAGCACCAAAGCATTTGAGAACATCTCTTCTATGGAAACCATTCTCACCAACATCGTTCTCTAGTTTATGACAACGAATGACACCCTGATTACTCTTATTAGAACAAAACAAACACACCATGTCTCAGCATTATCTCAAGTTCAAGTTTTATAAATGAAGAACCATTTTAAATGAGACATTTAGAATTCACTAACACGAAAAACAAAGAGACATTCAGTAACTTACTGCATGTGCAGAGAATCTGGTAGTGGCACTGGCATTGGTATTGGTAGTGGAAGTGGAAGTGTTGAGAGAAACAATGGGAACCAGAGAAGGAAGTGTTGAGAGGAATGAGACACCCATTGTCTCTTGATTTTTCTTCTTACCCAAGTTTCGAAAAAGGATCTTTGTTTATGAATGCAGAGACTGGAAAGTGCGGGCCTATAATTGGATTACAGGTGTGGAGTGTGCATGATATGTGTTATCCTATCTTTGACGACTAGGATCACTTCCTGAAATTTCCTTATATTGGATTAATCGGCCACCCCAACACACCTCTTTTAATTTCTGTCATGGGCTCGGGTCGGATCCCCTTGCCAAGTGCATATCCTATTATTATAATAGTAGTGTCTCTTTTTCCATTTTTCCTTTGCTTTTTTCTTCACTTTGTAAGCTTCTTTGTAGACTTATTTGAAAGGATAGATTTATTGTTATTATAAGGGAATCAGAATATTATTCTTACAAACTCTTCTTACTAATTTTCTCTCATACTAATTTTCTCTCACAAATATAATCATTCTTACAAACATTTCTTACTAATTTTCTCTCATACTAATTTTCTCTCACAAACATAATGTATCAATTCATAATTAATCAACTCATAGTGGATCCAGCTTGAGCAAATGCGATATAATTAATTACGAATTGCTACATCAATGTTTGTAAAAAAAAATTGTGAAAAGTGTTTTTCAATCTATGTTTTATTCATCCAGATGAGTTATCCATGCTAGATGATTAAACAAAGTTCTGTATAACGATTTCCAGATCTCCAGATTTGTCTGGTTCATGGATCCAAATGCCCAAAGAAGACAACACTCAGCATCCACTGCAATTTCATTTTGACAATTTAAGTAGAAAAAATGAAATAACCATCTCAGTGGCTACAAATAAAATATATAATCGTGTAAGAGCATGTAATTTCTTGAAGCATTTTTACATCATGAATCCCTTATCCCTCTCTTGAAACTTGGCCAACTTCTCCAACTTGAAGAATATAAATTTACCTTTGTGATTCTATGGAATCATGTCTTTGATGATCCTATCCCTACCCAGAACTCGAATGCTCTGTCCATTTCACCTATATATCTAACTCCGGATATACACACTCCGCGTCCCCAGCTTCTAAAATGGCACAATCAGCTCGCAGATCTTCAATAAACTATTGGCCGATATTCCGTGCCAATAGCCCTGGGGGATCTTTGTTGCAGGGAATTGTCCAAGAGCCTCTAATCTACTTGATAAAAACTGAGGCGTTAACATTTGGTAGTTCCTTCTGACATAAACAATCTGGCAAAGGATTTACATAAAAAGCTTCTTCTGAGCGAAACCTATCCATGCCCTTTGTTCCCGAGATAGGGCCCTTTCTTTTTCGTGGGGATCCTTGCCTACAAGACCAACACAAGAACAAAACCACAGAAAAAAGAAAAAAATAGGCATGAGTTATTCATCATACCATAAATTCTAGACATTTAAGAAAATAAAATCTTAATCACGTCAATACTCGATTATTATATGGTATGCACAGCCATCACAGTGGCTCCGGAATAATGCTCATGTCCAATGTAATGATGCATCGCCCCACTACCACTGAGCACTTACCTTGTGGACCACAAGTGTGGCATGACCCTGGTCAGATTAGCTCCACGTATATAAACTATAAAGGACCTCTTCCAATTTTCCAATTAAAAACATCATCATAGTCAATATTGTCTTCACCTGATTTTGCAAACCAAGTAAGCAATCTATATTAACTTAGACTAGAAGGAAACCATCTAAATAAGACTCCAAAGCTTTGTTTTTAGCAGCTACTCAGAATCACTTGTGATCCAACATATGATAGATTGTGACCAAAAGTTAAAAACAAAATAGTAGATAACTCAACAGAGCACCTAGAAAGGCAGTCTTCATAGAACACCTTAAAATCAGTTTTATGCGAAGCAATCTCTGAAAGGAACTAGAACTAGGCAGTAAATTAACAACCCAAAGATCAAAGAATATCAATGCTCTCATAAAAAGTACTAATGACATACCGTCTTTTGTGAATTTCAATGGTCCGATTCGCTAAACTTTTGCCTTCTTTCATTGTTCCTTTCTCAATTTTGTCAAACAGACGAACAAGTGCTTTCCTGATACAGTAAACACAAACAGACTTCAATACACAACACATGAATGGCAATTAAAGTTGTTTTAACATGCTCCCTATACCTGACCTGTCAGGAGAAATAGTTTTCCTATGTCCCAAAAAACGGCGATGACCTTCAACTGCCCTCGCCATGTTTCCAGAGTATGATGGAATAAACACATCACTTTCAACGGATACAATGTAGTCAAGTGCAGCCATTTGAGATGCATGATTGACAAATGGTTCAAGCTCCTCAACAGATGCCAATTTTTCCTAAAAAATAATCATGTATATGAATCAACATGTTAGCCAACAACAAAAAATATTCAACATTTTAAGACTTCAGCTTCTTAATGCTTCGCCCAGAAATCAATAAATGAAAATATAAGAGATAAAACTAATTTTTCTTGCTTGAATTTATTCTCTGTTTGTGAAAGAGAGAAGAAAGTTTGTCTGCAATTGGAGGAAGCATGATTCTGAGCAGCCAAGTACCACAACTTAATTCTATTTCGTTTGTAGCCAATGAATGAAGTTGATTTCTGAGTGGTCCTCATAAAATAACTGAGCAATATTTATTATCTGGGCCCTCGCATGATCTATTACTTAAACTCGCTATTAATGACCTGATCTGATCTTGAATGCACAAATGTGCAGATCATGTATAGCAGTTGCACATTCAACACTCTTCATTAAGTAATTTTTCAGTTGCAAGGTGTCACAGGGTCAATGTTCACCACTAACCTCTTAAAGGCCTTCCAAAGGTTTAACAAAATCAAACACCAGCACAAAAATTTACTTGGAAGGGAAACTTATACACAAGCATCAAGCAACAAAAGATACAAGCCATACCTTGTTCATTATTATGGGGTAGCGGGATTGCAGATCAGCCATACGAGAATCACCCCCATATATCTCTCCAGCAGCAATATATATAGGGGTGTTTGAGGGGTACCCAAGAGCTGTAAGAAAAATTCCAACCTCCTTTGGTGTTAGGGGGCAATAACCTTTGGATCTCTGTTCCTCAGAATCAATGTCCTTCACTTTCCAGTAGGCAGTGTTTTCTCTAAGAATTTTTAAATGGTGGTAATATCAGTAGTAAGTCTCAGTCATCAAACTAAAAGAAAAAAAGACACATCATCAAATGAAGAAGCATTCAATTGATCATTGTAAATCATCCCACAGGGATGGCTCAGACCTTATCGTCCTTAGTTCATCAGCTTCAACGGGAGATAAATCATGTGTGCATCCACTAAAGGCTAGCATGTCCTTCTCATATCTAAGATGTAGAGAAATGTAACGACCATAAGATCTCATTCGATCCACCAACAGCTACAGCATCAATGAAATAAAAATTTTCAAATGTGGTCAATGCATATGTCACAACAGAAACATAGCTACTCCAAAAATGGACTAAAAAGTTCAAAGTAATTATTTACTTTTCCCATTGCTTCAATTCGAGGAGCAAATCTGAGAGCTTCATAGCAAGCACGGCAACGGAGCTTCTGAATATCTGGAGGTAGATTATTATTTGCTAGGCGAGAATCAGATTTGGCAGCTCGAATAACCTATAAAATAAATTTGTAACAAGATCACTGCATCTAGAATACTGTAAAACCACTAAGCAGAAACAGACTGAATCATTTTGAGAAACACACCTGATAATCCTCCCACAAGCTAGCTATCTCATCCTGGTAGTAATCCATACCAGACCAGCTTCTGAAATGCTTAACTGCTCTGGTAGCTGCAGTGAATTCCTTAGGAAGCTTTTTTATGACTTTTACATCATTAGCTAAAGCATTAATGAAATGATATTCATCAAAAACATCAGAGAAGTTGCTGCAGAGAAATAGAAACCAAACCATGGTATCAATCATGATGAAACTAATATGGTGACAGATAGGCGAACTTTTTTTCAAAACACGGTAGGGAAGAACCTTGAATCTTGCCAAAATGAACGCTTATCAAGCTCTGGAACTACAAGAGTGGCATTTATGATACGGGCTACGGCTACCATGTCACAGATCTGAAAATCAAAATTTAAACTGTACTCAGCAACTCAAAACTTATCAAATTCAGTTAACAGCATACTAAGAAACTAGTTAGACCATATCTCTCTGCATATAAAGGGAGAAGACTTCAACACTCCATCTCAGTATATTTGAAAGGGAAGAAGAATAAGCAAATTGAGGGCACACTTTTAGCAATGGGTTTTCCCCACAAGATGGAACAAGCTTACATCCAACCATATCATCACTACCACAACATCAATTTAATCATTAGTAGCTTCTCAATACAATGAAGGGATGACATGCATGACTTCAATAAACAAAATCATAATAATCACAACAAAATATTATAAGATACATTTCTACACTCTACCACTGTAATTTTATTTCCAAAAGGAGAAAAATAAAACAAAATATAATAAAAATATGCTTTTATAATAGGTTAAAACAGAATTCTTCACCATAACATTTCAAGTGGTGTGTTTTACAAATTCTCAATTCACCAATCACAGTATAAAGAATTTTCTAGTTCCTGGAATATTAAACAAAAAGTAAGATTCACGCATAGACAAGAACAAAAATACAAACCCCAGCACGCATCTGGTTGAGTCCACCATTTGTATGAACCAGAAGAAAACCACGAGACGGTGCAGGAGCTGATAAACAAAAGTAAATTGGTAAATAAGCACACAGGATTGTAGCTGTTTAAAAGACAAATCAAATTAAAACCTCTTCCTTACATGTATAATTAGGACTAGGCTCTGCACAAGGCACGTAATCGCGATTCGGCGGAGACTTCCATAACTTGCCAAAATCCGAACTCCCACTAGCACCATCCAACTGTCAAGTCTAAAGGAGTGAAAACATGAAAGAGGCATGACTGCTTCGCATCAATTATATACAATCCTACTAACCACACCGTCAATGCCCATAACATTTCCCAGACTAAAAGAAACAACGACAAATTCATTTGCTCCACCGGTTGTCTTAAAAAAAAAAAAAAAAATCGTTCTAATAACGACCTGAGTAGCGAATCTATAAAACAAAATATTAGTATCGAAACCTTGCGGGAAGGTAACGGAGCTTTGGACAAATGAGGTGGAGCCAGCTCTTGAGTCCAGCTTTGCTCTGTATGCTACAAGAATTTATAAAACAAAAATTACAAATAAATCAAATCAAATCACACTATCTATACTAGAAAATGCAAAAATGAAATAAGTTTTTCTATTTTTAAAATTAAAAGTAAAAAATTAAAAGAAAATCAGAAAACATTTTGCACAGAGAAATGAGATCTAGTTAACAAAGAGAGACACCTGAGTAACGGTTGGGAGTTTGTAAGGATCAGAGAAGTCTGAAACTTTAGAAGAAGGAAAAACATGGATGTGTACAGACAGAAGAGCCACCAACGCTATTACGCATATGGCGCACGTTATCAACTTCCTCAGCAACACCACCACTCTTCTCCTCCGCCTCTGCATCTTCTGTTATTATTTACACAAAATAACAAAAAAACTCTCGGTGTCTAATAAAACTTGGCGAGAGCAAAACGACGACGCGAAGCCATTAACAAAACAGGAAAAGGAAAAATTATTTGGAGATCACGAGTTAATAGTGTGTCCTAATGATGTGTTTTGAGGGGGTCTAAAAGCGAGCGGTCGGCGGTTGTTGTCGTTGTTGCGACTTTGCTTTGGTGTTTCAGTTATTAAACACTGAGAGAAAGCAGTGGAGAAATATAGCAAAAATAAAATAATTAATTAATCTACAGAGAGAATAATAATAATAATAATAATAATAATACGTGGAGAAAATAAAATAAACTTCTACTTAATTACATCCTTATCAGTAATTTTGTTCTAAGATTTGGTGGTGGGTCCGTAATTACGTGATATAATTATTTAGTATTTGAGAAATTTTGTTGGCGTAGAGTATACTTTATAATCCAGTAAAGGAGGATCATTGCATTTAAAAGTTTGAAAACATACTACTAAAATTAGGTAAAGGTTCTCAGAAAAGGGTTCTGCATTTTTTTAATTTTTTTTACTAAAATTATCTAAGTTTCAATAATAGTGTTTCTCGGTTTAACATTAACTTTATAAGGTTGATATAAAAATGACTCTATTGAGGAACAAAATTTGAGAAGAATTATATGTTAGACCAATTTGATTTGATTTGATTTTTCTTTTGGTGTGTGCATGGGATGTATTTTTTTAAGAGTAATGGCCCTATCACCAAAGCAAAGGCAAGCAGACAGGCAGCAGCTAGTCCATACTTTTAATTTTGTGATTGGATTATGAAATAATAGGAGGAATGGTATTGTACTTTGACTTTATTCCTCCATGGTTTAAAGCGTTTAAGATATATTAAATTTTGCATTGGGTGTGTCGGTCAGTCCCCAGTTGTAGACAAAGTGTAGGACTGATCAACTAACAAAGCTTCACTATCAGTGGACTGGAAACTGTATAGTGTGGATCTCAAGATGAGACGCATTTACTCAAAAGGATGGCATTGCATGTGCAGGAGATCTCTAGGGTCTCCCTGTACACACTTCAAACCGGATTTTGATTTGGTTTCTTTCTAAATTTTCTCCATGCCTTTTTCATATTTGTAACCTAACATTAATTATATTATTTTTGTCCCAATAGAAATCAATGCAACATACCTATTGAAAGGGTACGTAGGGCATGATGCATTGATTATTTAGTGGTAATTAAATTCTGTAAACGCAAAAAAAAAAAAGAACTAGCATCACATTCACAATGGTATCTTATTCTGTTTCTATGATTTGCTTTTACCGAGAAACAGGGAGTGTCTCACGTGAAAAAGGCGTTGGAATATCAGGTGACCAATGGAACGCGATAAAGTACTAGAAGATGTTTGAGGAGATCCAAGTGGGTAATAGAGTGGATAGGGATAAGTTATAGAAGAAGACAAATGGATGCTAAAGGACACATCTTCCTCTTTTGTATTCTACACTTTTTGCCTTCTTGCATCGCCATGAGGGACGCTCTTCCAGCTCACATTCGCAATTGTTTGTATAGCAAAATAGCATAAGGTACAAACTGAAATTATTTTTAATTTTTCAATGAGGTTTGGACCGTTTGGTGTGTTACATGACTACATCAAGGAACAAGTATTCCTCTAATTTGTTTTAAAAAACAATCTCAACTCAATAATTAAAAAGTTATAGAAGAATTGGCTTTAATCTATCAATAACAGTCATAGTCCGTGACCAAAAAAAGCCCTTCCTTCCCAATATGCATGGTGTGTTCTCTATTGTTTTTGTCTCATTTACAAAATTGTGGAAGATTTCAATTTATATATCTCAAGCCTAAAATGTCGCGTACCCGTAATCCNAAAAAAAAAAAAAAACTAGCATCACATTCACAATGGTATGATATCTTATTCTGTTTCTATGATTTGTTTTTACCGAGAAACAGTGAGTGTCTCACGTGAAAAAAGGCGTTGGAATATCAGGTGACCAATGGAACACGATAAAGTACTAGAAGATGTTTGAGGAGATCCAAGTGGGCAATAGAGTGGATAGGGATAAGTTATAGAAGAAGACAAATGGATACTAAAGGACACATCTTCCTCTTTTGTATTCTACACTTTTTGCCTTCTTGCATCGCCATGAGGGACGCTTTTCCAGCTCACATTCGCAATTGTTTGTATAGCAAAATAGCATAAGGTACAAACTGAAATTATTTTTAATTTTTCAATGAGGTTTGGACCGTTTGGTGTGTTACATGAGTACATCAAGGAACAAGTAATCCTCTAATTTGTTTTAAAAAACAATCTCAACTCAATAATGAAAAAGTTATAGAAGAATTGGCTTTAATCTATCAATAACAGTCATAATCCGTGACCAAAAAAGCCCTTCCTTCCCAATATGCATGGTGTGCTCTCTATTGTTTTTGTCTCATTTACAAAATTGTAGAAGATTTCAAGTTATTTATCTCAAGCCTAAAATGTCGCGTACCCTTAATCCGGATAAAATTTTCTTTCTTTTGATAAAGTAATTTAATTTTAAATATGGAATTGATTGTTAGATTAGTTACTTAATCTAGAACTTTAGAAGGTAATTAAGTTAAAATAGATTTTTGTTTGTTTTATCTTATCCTGATCCATAATCTATCAATAATCAGAATTACTTGTTTTAATTGAACTCAAATGATAAAATTACTAAATATACAAAATTACTGTAAATAGTACCATAATTTATTTTAATTATGTTTGTCACATGCTGTTATTGTCATGGGATTAGTTTTTGAAATATTATGCTACTATATATATATATATATATATACATATACGATATATATGCTGATGTATCCATTACTGGAAACTCAATATAATTAATGGTAAAGTTTCCCAGGCCCACAGAATTGCTAGTGCATTTTACATTCCCGTTTTGGTGACTTCTTTTTGACGTGTTCAATAGGTAAGGCATCACATATAACATAATCCAGGTGGCTTACATTCGCTGGCCATAGTTGGGAGAATCATGCGGTAGTGGAGCTCCCACTTTTATTATGATACAATACGTGGCGGAATATCCTTGCAAAGCATTGGCAAACATAATCAAATCAGATGGGTCCCTTTTTCTTTCAAACTTTGCCGTCAAGAAAAGAACAACAAGGCACGTGCAAATGCATCCGGAAATCTTGAGTTTGCTGCATCAAAACCAATTATGATATCATGTGAAGGGAAGATCGTAATTGTCGGTAGTTTGCGATTACAATTGTCAAATTACATTATTATAATAGCAATTTAACAAAAACCCAACTTTAAGTTTTCAAGAGGAATAGGCTGAGAGCCTTTACGAAGAAGAAGTCTACCAATCAGATTATTACGGCAGGATTCAAGTCTCTTTTGATAAACTTCTTCATTGATACGAATATATGTAATCTCTCCTCTGAGAGTAGGTTGAGAAAGGAGATTGGGATGAATGAGGATCGGACAACAAGGAGGCATAGGTCTTGGGCTGAACAACAGTGATGCAGTCGTTGTGGGGTGGAGGAGGGTTTGTTCCTTGAGCAGCAGATGCAGCCAGGGTATTTCCAATTGACAATGAATTTCAAGAAGACTAAAGTCTACAGAATAGTACTCCCGTAAAGTGCACGTTAAGTAGAGGGTCAATTACTGAATTCATATCATCCCACCCCAAAATCAACATCACCATAATTTTCGCATGGAAACAATAACCTTAAGATTATTATGAAATAATGCAATATAGAGGGCCCAAGATGATAATATAGTATTTCAATTCTTGTTTTACTAATAGACAAACGCTAGAGGGTAAGCAAAAAGCCAAATACCTCAATGTAGACTAAATGTTGATTGATGTTTGGTAACGACTGATTAACCACACGCTATACCATATGATGAACTTTACCCAAAGACGTTCATTATTTCAGCCATTGGACGGATACGGGACTATATCTTCGTTTTAGTTCCCACTTCCCAACCATACCCTGCGGAGAGCTGTTACATTGGTGGGTCATATTCACAATTTTATATGTAATAATTGAGATAATTGTTGACCTCCTTCCCAATTTCATAAATTTATACATTTCTCACTAAAGTTTGAACAACCAGAAACTTGCTCATAAACTTATGAGATATGATAATGAATTTAGAGTCACAAAACTGTTTTTATCAATCTATTATTTCATATATATATATATATATATATTTAAGAAAATCCTGTTTTCATACCATATAAATTTTTTTTTTTTTAAATTATTTCTTTTAACATCATAGGTAAAGATTCTCCATACCACTAACTTTTAGGTACCTATAAATTCGTAAGAATATTACTTCTAAACTATGGTATTAGTGACTTGTCACAAATTCCCATTCAGCCAAGAAAATTCTAGGTACATTTATCCAGAACCAGTATAGCATTCGTAACCGTGTAATACCATGGATATTGAAACTCATTACTGTATAAAAAGTTAACTGTTAACCCATAAAATTCAGTGATGGGTAACTTTTTATTGGCTTAAAGTGGCAAGTCAACTGCATACAAGTTATGGGTTGTCGAAAACTAGTGGAAGAGAAAGGCTATTAAGTAGCCCATTAAACATACATTACAACCACCAAGAATGTGGTAGTGGAACAGCAATTTTTTATTTCTTATTGACAAACTTAGAATCATAGAGGGAACTTAGAGTGGCCATAGCCTAACCTTAAGCATACCACAGAATAGATAAAAGCATAAAATTCAAAACAAATAAAAAATTGGGAAGAGGAAAGGCGAAGAACCATATGAAAAAATCAAAATAAGGTGTGGGGCTTCTGACTGGAGATGTGGTTGTTTAATTCCATTTTCATCACAGTGCAGCATCTACTCATTATTAGTTGCCCTGATTGAGATTTGAGAAAGGACTTATAACTTATTAACGGGCCATTTTAATGGTTGTAGCATGTCATAAGCTCATTATTTTTTCCGCAAGTAGTAGATGTTTCGTTCAATCACCTTTTATTAGTTGAATATTAATGACGGTTATTGAGCTTGACTTATTAGTCGGGTCTGTGTAAAGCTACTAAAATGGTGGCTTGTTGTTAGCTCTTAAATAAATTACAATGTCACATAACATTATTATAAATATTTCCTCTTTTTTCTTTTCTTTTCGATCTTAAGTGAGCCAGTGAAGTATACAACTCATAATGTTGACTGCTTAATAAGGAATATACAAAGGCTAGGCTTGCCAGCTGAAAAAAGCATGTTANGGCCGTTTTAATGGTTGTAACATGTCATAAGCTCATTATTTTTTCCGCAAGTAGTAGATGTTTCGTTCAATCACCTTTTATTAGTTAAATATTAATGACGGTTATTGAGCTTGACTTATGAGTCGGGTCTGTGTAAAGCTACTAAAATGGTGGCTTGTTGTTAGCTCTTAAATAAATTAGAATGTCACATAATATTATTATAAATATTTCCTCCTTTTTCTTTTCTTTTCCATCTTAAATGAGCCAGTGAAGTATGCAACTCATAATGTTGACTGCTTAATAAGGAATATACAAAGGCTAGGCTTGCCAGCTGAGCAAAGCATGTTATAAATTTGGAAACTGCAGCCTCAACGTCTTGATACCTATATTGCATCGGATGCTCAGTCTCAATCGGTCCAATAGGTGCTAAGATAATTTTAGGTACATTTATCCAGAACCATTATAATTTAAAATCATTCAATTCCACTTTGTGGAATGAAGGGGTATGGTAAAAAAGGGTACGTAAATTCTACTAATATGATACGGTAAATAGTAAAAAATACGTTTATAAAAATTCAGTTATAAAATTTGGATACGAGAAAAATACGGTACAGGTTTAATACGGCACATTGTCAATAATACGTTTTAAAAAATAAGACAATATCAATCCTGGTTTTAACACTTTTCATGGACCATCCGATTAAAATCAATATAACATTTCAAATGCAAAGTATTTAATTAACCAATAAACATAAGACCTAATAATATAACACAATATATAATTGAGATTCAAAATTTCAATTTTTAGTCTCCAGAATCAAACACAATAAATAGCCAAAATTAAATTATAGTCTCAAATCAAACACATAACAAAACTAAAATTCAAAGTCGAACTAGAGCTCCAAACAAATAAAATAAATAAATAATACAACCATGATTCAAATTATAGCCTATAACAGAAACTCACCCTGGTTAGTAAATATAGGTACAACAAAAAAAAAAGTACGAGAATTTTACAAGTATAATACTGTAAATGTTAAAAAATAAGTTTATAAAAATTCGGTAAAAATTTAGATACAAGAAAAATATAGAAATAATTTCTGAATAAAACATCTAAGGCATATAGTTCGTAAATAATATGGTTGGACTGATAAAATACGAAAATTCGTGAATGATACGTGAAGACGTATAATTAAACTCATTAGTGTAAAAAAGTAAACCGTTAACCCATAAAATTCAGTGACGGATAACTTTTATGGCTTAAAGTGGGAAGTGAACTGCATACAAGTTACTGGTTGTTTATGATTACGTTACAACCAACAAGAATGTGAAAGTATAACAGCAACTTTTATTTCTTGTTGACAAACTCAGAATCATAAAGTGAACTTAAAGTGGCCATAGCCTAACCTCACCTAACATTAAGCATACGACAGAATAGATAAAAGCATAAAATTCAAAACAAATAAACAATTGGGAAGAGGAAAGAAACGATTGGCGAATAACCATATGCAGAATAAGGTGTGTGGCTTAAATGAACCAGTGAAGTACAACTCATAGTGTTGACTGCTTAATGGGGAATATCCGAGGCTAGGCTAGCCAGCTGAACAAAGCATGTTTTAAATTTGGAAGGTGAAGCCTCAACGTCTTGATACCAATAATGCATCGGATACTCAATCTCAATCTGTCAAGATAATTTTACAATAGACACTGGACAGGGATGAAATAGCCAGTTTGTTGTGTGGTCTACATCAATATACATGCCTATAGAATACAACTACCCAGCTAAGTTCTAAGTACTGATCTTGGCAATCAATATAGTATTAGAAATACAAACTCTCCGGGCCTAACGCTGCTTAACGTTTCAAATTTTGTTTCCCTGAATTGGGCTTTACCCACATCAAGTCCGAATTTTTCACGATTATGTGGTTCTTCTTTCCACCTGCCCAGCTGGAAAAATCCAGCTGTCCTTTTTTTTTTTTTTTTTTTTTGAGGGTTCGAGTTAATTTACACGCACCTCAACTAATTTCTCAAAACTCTGAAACTATCTATCAGATAAGAGTTCCACTGGTCACCCCTATTAGCAATTGTGGAGACTTGAATTTGGGAGATCATCTTAGATCTCTCTCTTGTTCTTTTAGTTTCAAGGGGATTCAAACTTGAAAAACCATTTTAGATCCTCTTTTTATTTTTTTATTCTGAAAGAGACTCAAGTCTCGAACTTGAAAGATTATATTAGATCATCTTTTACTTTTTTATCATCAAACCATCCAATTTTGTCCTTTTATTTGGAACGTTGACAATCGCTCAGTTGTGATGAGTCATGAAAGAAAAATTCCAAGTTCCAATGGGCTATATATATAAAATTTATATGAGAGAAGGGAAAAGAGAATCACGTGTTGGATGCCAGAGCCGAGACATAAGAAACAAATAAGTAGTTTTTATTCTCTTGCAAATTTAATTGTTACAATTGATTTAATATTATAGGTTTAGGAGCGATACGGTATGTAGTAGTTGGCGGACCACAGAAAGGCAACCATTAATTAATAGAATATATAGTGATTTCATGAAATGAACCTTTCGCTACCGACGATCAAGATCTTAACAACATCTATGGTTAAGCTTGAGCGTGATGCCTCTTCTACCGGCATTTTCATTATAACGTTAAGAAAGAAACACAGCATAATATATGGTATATCTATATTGTCTTCAAAATTAATAATACGATTATACACACTTCTTTTAAGTAAATATGGAGTTTGGTTGATTAGGTGGGGAACATGTTGTGGTAGCTTCAATTTGTATTTGATAATAGGTTTGTCCCGTATCGTCTGGCAGATTGTATATATCAACTTATCCTTCCTATAGTTTGATTATTGAAAAAAAATATATTAAAAGTTCGTAAGATGAATTTCATCGCTGCCTTTTTGATGATACTCTAGCTTGTTTAACGCGTATGACAGGCTAACTGCGGCTTTGCACTCTGGCACCTACTGAATACTGATTAATTTCAGTAAAGAGAAAATAAAGTTTAAAGTCTGTTCGCTACGCTAATTTTATTATTTCTTTAATTTAAGGTTGGACTTATTTCATTATATTAGCCAGCCAGAAGAGAGATTGAGGATTTTACAAAGTCAAGAAAATGAGGTTTTAGACAAATATTTATTGAGTGCTACGTAAATGTTACTTTATGATGAGATGGAGGCATGGAGCAACTATATATATTAAATATAATATATAATCTATCTCATCATCTGGGGATGGGTTTATCCTATTTTGCTTTCAATCTTGGGTCAAAGCACTGCAATATGAAGAAATAGTTATGGTTAGATCACCGACTCCATATTTTCTTGTAATCATGTTATGGTTGAAATTAATTACTTAGAAACAATACCAAATTAATGGCATGAAGTATCCATGAAGCCTCCTTGTGTTGTGATCTCATCGTTTAAAAGACTTGCACATGCTACAATTTTTTTTTTATTATTATTAAATTCTTCAGATCAGTTTACGCATACCTCAATAAATCTCCCAAGATTCTAGAACTATCGACCGATAAGAGCTTTAGTGACTACTTCTATTAGTAATTAAAAAGAGACTCGAACTCAAGATCTCTTTAGTAATACACTAAACAGTCTCTATCGAATCACTCAATCATTTAAAGATAATTATTCATGTGAACTTGTTGAATCTTCACTTTTTTTTTTTCCATTTAATCCTACTGGTTTGAACATAACTAGTTATTATAATAATGTTTTAAAAAAAAAAGAATTTCCAAGATCAAAATGTAGGAAAATTTGCTAGCTGTGAACAGATTTTTCAAATTTCTTGTGCCAGCTTGTACAGTTAGCCTTTAAGCTCTCATCAGGAAGTTGCTAAGAATTTGGATCCAGCATGCTGGGTAATTCACCAGCTGTCCCATATAGGCTTTTTCAAGTTTAATAAGTCGGTCTTAACTCTTAAGAATGCAAGATAATCAAAGTAGACTGCTTCAAAGTTCAAAGTTAGAAACTTATAATGTTAATCTCAAATAAAGAAGTTTCTCGGATCGGGGGTCAGGGCCATTAGCCTGCCACGACTCATGCGCTACCAGCCCATTTGACAGAATGTTATTCGCTGGTACATGTGGAATTTTTGTCTTATCATTATGCACTGACAAACTTAAACAGCTCTTTATATAAATATATGCAAAACAACAAAGACTATTAAAAAAAAAAAAAACAAATAAATAAGCTAAGGCAAAATGGTCGTGTATCATTTTCTCAAGTACAATATTGTTATTGTGAGCTAGATACAAGCAAACACTTAACAGAGAAACAGAAACTGCGAATGTACCTTTCTTCATATTCCCACAAGAGGTCAGTACGTACACGTATACACCAGACATAATTCTTCTTTTTGTGCATGCTTTATATTATTCTATCAATTCAGTACATACTCTTCTTTTTTCTTTGTTGTACAAGTTTGGTTTATAACTACATTCTAATCTAGCAAGATAAAAATATGAATGATAAACGAAGAACAAGAAAACAAGAGAACTCCTTAATGAGATCACTACTCGTCCATTAATTAGCTGGTAACAGCGATCTCTATTGTACTCCTAGAATGCATCAATCCTGCCTCAATCTTCTTACTTCTTGGCCGAAGTAACTTGGACAAGAACCCACCTTTCTTCTTCTTGTTATCATGATCATCACCCTCTTTACCTCTCGTTCTAGGAAAAAAAGCCAACGATCTACTCTTTGTCAAACCGTTCTTGCTAACGAACGACAAACTGAACAAAGAAATATTATTCTTCCCCTCAGTAGTGAAGCGATACCGATGCATTGGAGAAGCACAAGAAGAAGCTTCTGAAGAGGAATAGTAAGACGATAACGAAGAAGAAGACGATGACTCCATTGTAGAACTATAAACACGAGATGAGCTTGAAGTTGATAGCTTAGAGAGCTTTTCTCTTAAACAAAGCGAGCAAACTCCAGGTGATTGCCGGTGTTTGGGGTGCTTTTTGCAGCGAATTATATCAGACTTGGATTTGCCAATAAAATCCTTTGATGATTTCTTCATAAGGCTAGCCATTTTGGAATTCTTTTGGCTTGGTTGGTGTGTAGTGTTTTAGTATATATAGGTGAGGAAGCGGTTCATTTCCATGATAGTTCATGGGAGCTTCTTTGGGTTTTCCTTAAAATAGGTTTTTTGACGGTTTGAGTAAAAGTTTGAAAAGTTTGTTGGAAAGATTAATTGAACGGTTGAGATTGGAAACAGAGTTGTGTGGGGCACATTTTAAGATTAAGTTGGTGGGTATGATGGTTTAAGTAAGTTGTGAAGTGTGGATTGGGGGAGCATGGGACCAAAACTTTATGTTGGGCGGCGTGGAAAATCAAGCATTCACACAGAAAATAGGGTAGGCGTGGACACTGTAAAGACTTGGAAACGACAGCGTTTGGGTAAAGAGCATGTTGGAAACGTATAAAACGGGACGTCGGTCCATGGCAAAACAAAAGCTCTGGTAATAAGGTGTATGTCGTCCAAACGAAGTGCATGCGCTGTTTCTTTCGGTGAAACCAATAATATTTTGCCACGTAGTTGCCCCTTAAAAATGTTTAATTTAATCCTTTCTCAGTCCTGAACATGTAATTTTGTGAATTCAAATCACAGTATAATTCATTCTGATCCATATGAAATGATATGATGGGATTATCTGAAATGAAACATTGTTTGAAGCTGTCTAAACAATAGAATTTGAAATTTAAATGCAAAATATTGTGGAAGAGAAGAAGTGTAGAACGTTTCAACATCTTTAAGGATTTTGAACATTGATGAAGGCCACCCATCACGCAGTGGCTTGCTGTAGGGTATTAGTAAAAGAATTTTAATCTAGAGTAAACAGCATATTCCCACCCAAGGTTTGACGAAATCCCCAGTTGGTACCTCAAGTTCTATTTATTTCAGATTCTTACCTTTAAAATAACATTGTTAACAATTTTTAGGGTAGTGAGGATGCAATTACCATAATGCCCTTAACCCTAAATTAATAAATTATTTTTAACCCCTAAATTACTAAAATTATAAAATTAACCATCTTATTTTTAAATTACTTCAATTACACCTTTAGTGACTACGCACCCTCTCGGTTTTCACAGGATCTGGGTTGTTTCTGATGGCATTGAACCCCCTGGTCACTCCATCACCTTCCCCATAGTCCGTTGTCCAAAACCCCTCTGGTTCTCGACTCATTGGCCCCTCCAATCGCCGATGCCATTAGGCTTAGGTTTTCGTTGTTCTTCGTTGGATTCCGACGACGAAAATCCAATTGGACATCACTACTGCAACCAGCGTCTCCAAATCTACAAAACTCCTATGTTCCCAGCAACCGTTTAGTGGCCATTCGCCGGTGGAGACCGATGAAAACCAGTCGCATGTGGAGGTTGTTGTGGCTAGTGATCGGCGAGTGATGAGGGGTTGTGAAGGGTGAGGTTTTGAAGAGGGGAGGATGAGGGTTTGAATGGTGGTGACAAGGGTGATTTTGGGTGGAAGAATCGCCAGAAAAAGATGAAAAACGTCGGCGGTGATGTTGGCTAATGTGCGTCGGAGCTTTTTTAGGGGCAGCGATCTGCTAATGTGCACCTCCTCTGCAAAATGATCAATTTACCACTGAACCGTTATATCTAACCATTTTCCGTTACTTTAAGAGTGGAAATCTAGAATAAATGGAACTTGGGGTACCAACATGGGATTTCGTCAAACCTTGGATGGGAATATGTTGTTTGCTCTTAACTCTCGTAGCGCCCCTCATTTTAAATTTCCAATCAGCAAAATCTCCTTTTTCTGTGATTTATGTGGAACATGAATTTAACATTGACTCTCCAACCATACTTCTTAAAGAAAAGTAGAAGTAGTTCAAGAACCGTGAATAAAAATGAATATTATCCCGTGTGCAAACAACGGTAATAATCAATTTAAAGTTTGTAAATAAAAAAGAAGAAAGAATAACGTGAGAAACATTTAAAAATTACATTACTTTGACCTGTAAATGATAAGATAATATGATGAAAAATTGGATATTCGAATTGCATAATCTTACTTTAAAATAATAATTACGTATCAAAATAACATTGCAATTTTAAGTAGACTAACAGAAAAGAATTCCATTTTGCCAAATTCAAAAAGGTTACTTGTATGGCACAAGAAAGGAACAAGCGACGTGCGCAACGTTTCTCTGCAAAGATTGAGTAAACATAGCTACGTATAAAAATATTAAAAGAGCTGCCATAACAATAAGTTTTATTAAAACGCGGAAAACTGCCTCATCACACTCCCATTCTTTTCCTTCCCTGCCACCAATGGCAGATACAGAAATTTCACTTGACGGGAAAAAAATAAAAATAAAAAACCAATCATATTCATACGTTTTTTTTCTTGTTATTAAGATGGGCTTCAACAAAAAGTTATAAAATACAAATAAATATCTTCAAAAAACACAATTTTTGTAAAAATATTGTTTTCGATGAGTTTTCATATTCATAATTGTATCAAATACATATTTCTCAGTATAGGTGACCAAGCAATCATTCATTCATTGATCTCCCATTCGTTTGCGTAACTGACTTTTCGCAAGATTCATTGTTGAAAAAAACCCTTTCAACGGTTGCAGTCTCACAAGCTTATACACCAACGAATGCATAATATCTTTTTTAAACCGAACTAAATTCTTAGCCAAATCACCAATTCCTTGTAATTTAGCAAATTCATCACAAGAACGCATATCAATAACATAATTCTCAACCTGGTTCTCAAGTACCATCAACTTAAGTGCAGAAAAATCATATGGATAAAACTGGGCAAAACGGATCAACTTATCTTGTCAAAAGCAGAGAATGAATTTCTTGGATCTAAACATGTCATACAAAGAAGCAGCTCAGTACTAACCTTAGTGAAACAACGTTAAGTTTTTTAAGTTGCATATCTATCGCTGTATAAAACAATTCAACTCGATAATGATGCAAATTTGCCATGTGCTCAACTGTTTGTTGTGGCCGCCTTCGAATTGCAAACATATCATCCATATTTAAAATTGCAATATCATGCTTTTGGCAAAATGAAGAAACTTCATCCAACAAAGATTCTCATCCTTCATCTCTCAACAATTGTAACCATTGTTTGGAGACTTTGACTAGGGCCATAACATTTACAATGTCTTGATCTTTTCTTTGTGAGAACTCATTAGTAATTATCGATATACTTTTTCATCATATGCAAGCTAAATGCAAAACCAAAGGAATAGATTAAATCTAATAGATTACATGCTTCACCCCTTTGTTTAGGATTTAAACCATCTTTTTTAATAATCTCAAGCACATCACCCACATAGGAGAACAAAAGGATTAAGTTGATAAACTTTCTATTGTAAAAATGCCCAGATTTCTCTCTTCAGTTACGTGCAAACCTAGCAGCTCTTATTCCTTTCATTTTCACTTTCAATAAAACTTTTAAAAACTAACAGATCCTAGGGGTGGGATAAAAAATTCGAGAACCAAACCGAACCGAAAATTAGGTTTTTTTATAAACTGGTTCGATTTTCGGTTAGTGAAATTAAAAAAACTGAAAAACTGGTTCAGTTTTCAGTTTGAAAAAAATTGCAAACTGGTTAACCGAAAACCAGTTTTTAAACCGGTTTTACCCTACATATAAAAGCAAAAAAAATTTTTTTTACTCCTCACACGCAGTCACGCTACAGCGCCATCCGCATTCGTCTTTCACTCTCTTTGCCTTCAGTCACCAAATCTGAAAATTTCAAAATTCAAATCTCTGCACTTCGTCTTCATCAACTGTCTGTTCGTCACTTCCAAAGTTCCAAACTCCAGTCGCCGGCAGTTCCAGTCTTCCATACCATGAGCCGTGAGCAGAGCTGACTCCACATCGTGACCTATTGAGTAGAGCTGACTCCATCCAGTTCCACTGTCCAGTCACCGTGAGCTACTCCATCCACACCGTGAGCTACATTCATCATTCGCCAGCACCCAGCACTCCAGCAGACTCCACTCTCCAGTCAGGCAGTCATGCCATTGTCTCATCGTGAACAGAGTCTTCTCTCCAAGCTCCGATCTGCCGAGCTTCACGTTCACAGTCCATAGATCACTCTCCAGTCAAGCCACCGTGAGGCGTGAGCAGACTCCACCGTGAGGCTTGAGCAGACTCCACCGTGAGGCTTGAGCAGACCCACCCTGAAGAGACTCCACCGTGAGCACTGAGCCACTGAGCAGACCCACCGTGAGCATACTCTTGAATCTTAATTTGAACAAGTTATTAGTTATTAGTTATATGCCATACTATTTGTGCTGAAGTTTTTGTTTGTTTTGTTATAATGGTTGTAGTTTAAATCAGGTGGTATTTGGGTGGTTTCTAGTAAATTGATTATTGTGTTTTTCTCATTGGGGTTATTTGTTAGTTTGTTACTTTGTTATAATGGTGGTTGTTTAAATCAGTAATCTTTCTGATTTTAAAATTTGGTAGTATTTGGGTTTCTGGTAAATTTATTATTTTGTTTTCTCGTTGGGATTATGTTATGATTATATTAATCTTTCTCAAATGTTTGGTTCAGTTTATTCATGGATGGCTGGATGCCAGATTATAAAATTCTATTGAGATTTCTCATTAAGTAAAACCTCAAGCTGACAAATTAATTGATGGGTTTTGTAATGTCTATGATTCGAACTTTGAAGACAGTTTGTGTTTAAAATTAACTATGTTTTAATTGTTTATTTGTGTGGATTTGTTAGATTGGAGAAAGAATATATATTTAAACACTACAAGAAAACTGACTTTCTGCGTCTAGCAAAATTAGACACAGAAAGTCACATTTAGACGCTAAACATTTTTAGCGTCTAAATTCGGTAGTCGCCCCCTTAGTTGCAGTAGGCTGGTCGCAGATTCATAGCGCGTCTATATTGTGGTTTAGACGCAAAAAGTTTTTTTTTTGTGACTATCAAAATAGTCGGCAAATGTTGTTCAAAATAGTCCCCCAACTTAGACGCTAAAAGTTGAAGGGTAATTTGGTAAAATTGTATAGCGACTAATCAATTAGTTGCAAAATGTCGGTTTCAGTGTCTAATAATTTGTCGCGAATCCCACGCAAATTAGTCGCCAAAGTGT